GCGCCCATGAGTTCAAACCTTTTCTGCGAGATTAGTGACCGAGTCATTCTTCCTCGTGCCCTTGGATAAAAGAGCCATCATCACAGACTGCCACTTTTTCGTGTCCTTCCCTCTTTTCTTCGTTACTTCGCCTCAGATAATGCCTTCTCCTTTTCCGCTATCTTTGGTAAGTGTTGAAACTGCCTCGCTCCTACGCGTAACACGAGTTCGATCGTGCGCAATACGAGTTCTAAAAATGTAACACGAGGTTTCGAGAAAATATGCGTTGAGTTTCACCGATTAAAGTTGATATTCAAAAGCAAAGTTCGAGTTATCATTACAGTAAGGGAACGCAAAGTTCAGACAAGCTTTTTTTTATTTTTAGCTTACCGTTTTTTCTTTTCAGGAGGATCCATTGATGATCGAGCTTATTAAGGTGCTTCAACTACTCAGAAACTTTCTTCACTGTAATGCATCAGTCAAGGTATCTAGTAGTCACATAATTCCTGACTGTCAATCGTTTGCATCTATCAGTGTTGTGTTACCGTAGGTTTATCTTGATAACCAAATATATGTCTGGAGCTTTCACATTTAAGTAAAAGTGTTGCAGGATGACAGGGGTCTATAGCCGCCTCTAAGATCTCTTACCACCGTCTGGTTAGCCTGCGAGTAGGCTCTGGTGTTTTGGTTTTGGTTTTTGACCTCTTTTGGAAAAAGTTATTGAATCCCCTGAAGGATTCTGGGAAGAGGTTGGGGAAAGTTTTTGTCTTTGTAATGTATACATATGGAAATGCAAACTGAAGGTATGCTTTCTTTGCCTTCGCTTCTGTAGAGAGCTTGCGTAGAAAGCAGAATCGTTGATGTCCTGCACAAACTCTGGTCGTGGTGTTCCGTTGAGGTGCACCTTCTAAACGAAGTTTTGCGTCTGCTATCAACGCTGACTGCACAGTTTTCTAAAGGTAAATAGTTCCTGTGAACTGATAAGAGTTACTTTTTTCGAATATATCAACCTCCTATATTTATTTCTAGATACTATTATCCTCTTCCGTTGTGAGTTTGCTCTCTTTCAATTTGCCACAAGGGCAGTATCACCTGGTGTGAGTCATTTAGACACTTGTTAGGGAACTTGTCATCTTTTTTCCAGTGACATGTCGCCTAAAACACCTTTTATTTGATAACGTCCATCTTCACAGCCCTCATGATTTAGAGAAATGTGATCCAAAATTTGACTTCATTTGTTGTACTGTGTTTTGTTATTGGTGTAGAAAGTTCGTGCCACCTTTTGAACTAATCAACTGCAAAACTAAAATCGCTTTTGCCATGGTAAGACTGATTTCTTTTTCTCTACCCTGAGCCGGTTTCCTTTGGTTCAACTTGTTCTCATTTGCCAACTTTGGTATCGGTTTTACGACGCTCCTGAAGTGCAATACACGAGCCACATCCAAAGCCCACATAGATGAAAAATAAATCCCACCTATTGACCACACAACTATGGTTAAATATTGCCCATCAAATACTCGTGTAGATTGAATAACTATATCAGTAGCATAATTTTTTTTTTCTGGATGTATTTGTACATTTTTGTGACGAATTAATTGAATAACAATTTTAGTTAGAGATCAGGTAGGCACCGAAAAACTTTTTTTTTCTGATCGTTTGTCCTTGCAGCATCAGCTTATGTCGCAGGTAGTTCAGGTGTTCTTGGCAACGTTAGCCGTTCTGTTCAGAGTGGAAGCACATTACTACACAGCCTGATTAAACTGACTCATAAGACCAACAGTAAGCTACAGAACAGCTCCAGTACCGAATTGGACATGCACCTGGCTGTTCTAAAGAACATGTTCAATCTGCTTAGTAACCTGGCTTTAATTGCCGAATGTAGAGGAGTCCTGTGGAAGGTAGGCCTGGGAACGTGTCACTCGCAATAATGTCGTGTCGTCCATTACAGTCGCTTTTCAAGTAGTAATTTCTCTTCTCATAAATTTCTGCCTTTCCTGTTGTACTCGGCAGGAATGTAGCGAAATTAGGGCAAGTACTTCTCAAAAACAAGCTCGTGCTTACAAGGCGCGTACAATTTTCGAGAACTGCCGTCTCGTCCTCATGCTACTCCCGTTAGTGGTTGAATCCCTCCTACGCCCGCTGGCTGTTATACGTAGAGAAAATTATAGAGGCAGAGAAATCTAACGTTCGGATAAAAACACATTGCGGACCTAACCCTTTACAAGGAATTTTTGAAGTGTAAGATTTTGAATGATACTCCTATTTACCACTGGTGTTCAAGTCAAAACGTTTATAAGGCTGGATGCTTTTTCCTCTGTCTCTGCAGACGAACTTTTTCCAACCATTCGCTTCACTGAAGCCTATTAAAAGCGGTGCCCATCCCAGACACAAGTCCATTACTCGTGGCGTGACACTCTGCTGGCTCAACGTACTCGTTAGCGTGACATTCTTTACCGATGGCCAGCAGGTTGTGGTCAAGACCCCTGGCGTTGTAGAAGTGTTGTTAGAGCTAAGTATGGCTCAGAACAGGCAGCTACAGGAAAAGGCTCTTCTTGTTCTGAGAAATTTGTGCTTCCATGGCGCCAGCAAGCCTGTGCTGTTGGTGAACGGTGAGTTATCATCTTCGCATTAGTGCTTTTTTAGCCTAGTATTTGTACGTGCTAAAGCAAAGTTATGGCAACATGTTCTAGCCATGGTATGAGAGGCTGCCAAACAGGGTCATACTAAATACTCATATGAGCCATACCACTAATGACCTAAGTTGGTGATCGTTCTCAAGTTTTCGTACATCACACTCCTGTTTTCAAAGATTTCATCTTGATTTAGAAATAACCAACGACGTTTGCAAGTGGACGGCCAAACATTTGTCTGTTCGTTTCCTGCCAAAATAGGCCGGCAACGTGCGAGGTACATGTGACATTGTAGAGTGCTTTTGGATTGAGTGACATTACACCAAAACCAAGGCAATCACAACAGCCAGTCATGGCTAAGATATATCACCAGGAGCTAATGAGCTTATTCTCCCAAATGACGAACTAAATTATTGTTAATGCTTTGTTTACTTTGAAATGATTGTCCTTTTGTTTCTCCCCCCCCCTCCCCTTTACGGGTGAGACTGGTGCTGTGGATCCAACAACAATTAAAATGATTGGCATCTCCTCTGTTTTGCAGAGAAGCTACTGTCTCTACTGGTGGAATTTACTACTGATAATTCCGTTTACTTGAGGGCACTGTGCCTCTCAGCTTTGTGCTCACTTTTGCACAATTGTCAAAAGGTACGTTGCATGTCACGATAGTGAAAGTTTGTTAAACCATAAAGTATGAAAAAAAAGCACTGAATTAACCCTTTTAACCCTGAAGTGTGACTAACATCTAATTTCTCCCAACAGTATAACCCCTGAATTACACATTAACGTCATGAGAATTAGGGAAATGATCAACAAATAAAGACGCTCTTGATTGTTAAATTAATTCTCCTTGTCAACACCTTAGGGAATATAAAGAGAACAGTGTGGAGAATGTTCATACTGATTTTAGGGTGTAAAGGGTTAACAGAAAGATCGCTTGTTGCTGCGCATCTGTTCAGTTGTAAATCACAGGTGACGTCAAAATGCGGTAAGAACAAAAACAAGTGGCGCGCGAGGCGCTTTGGAGTGTGTTACAGATGATCTTACGGATGTTCTTTCTCTCTGGAGGGTACGAATGAGGATTCAAAGGTAAACTGCTAGCTCATCGTGTCTCTTAACTACTTTACTTTCATTAGGCCAAAGTATCTTTGAAGAAGACGGGATTGGTGAAGAAACTCGACGAAATTCACTTGCTACCGGGTAAGTTGGTGAAATCTTCATTCTTTTCAACCATCAACAACTACCTTCAAATTTGTTCGGGGCGCGAGTGCTTTTGAAGTTACAGGACGGGGTAAAATTCCGAAAAGCGCTCGTTCAATCGAAGGATATCGCCTCTGATATCAAACCCTCCATCAAATACTTTCTTTAACCGTAGATAGTTTTTTTTCATTTCAGAGTTTGAACCTGAAGCAGAGGACAAATTTAGCAAAATGTGTCAGGAGAATATAAACATTTTACGGAAAATTTTCTCCGACAAAGATGATCGTGCTGTGTAATATTTTGTTTTGCATATTCGCCCTGTACATAGTATTTTTAACGATCGTATCAGGCAGGAGATGTTTGCGCGTTAAAACTCCGACGAACTTTCGTAGCCTTGTTCCAAGATTTCTGTATGAAGACAAGTAAATAAACCGATCGTGCTTTGGGGTGAGAACAGCCCTGTGGACTTTCTCATCCGGAGGCAAAAAGTTGCGGGAGAAAAAAAAACCAAGGTGGTGCTTTGTAAATAAATGTAAGTATTAAGTCCTGTGGCAATAAAGGATCTACGCTCTGACCTTAAGACAAAGCAGACTACGAGCATTCCCTGCTTTTCGGCTAAGTTCGACACGCGAGTAAAAATATCAATGAAAAAAATAATAAATATATAAAAATGTTAGCGCGCCGCGCGGAACTATGGCAGTCAGGCTCACGAAAAGTAGGTGCGCGTCGTGCCAACATAATTGTTTTTTTAACTTGCGCGTCGAATTTCACCGAAAGTAAAGACTGTTCGTAGTCTAAAGACAGGTTTGCATCGTGCCTGCGTGCTAAGCACCGACTCTTGACGAGTGGCAAAACAGCGAGTAGAAGTTAATAGGAATCAAGAGAGACGGCTGTGAATAAGTTATGGAGACAGCATTATGATACCTTCAAACTGACCTGTTGAACTGAGGCAAAAATGAAGTCTTGTTCGGTGTACCACACACAATGTTTTATTCAAAGGTCCAAACTGTCCGACATAAACAGTCTTGAAGACTGTCCATGTGGAACCATGTAAGTAACAGTGTTCATAAACAAGAATTCTCGTAGTTCTAAAGCTTCAGAAGTTGTAATAGCCAACTGGTTACTTAAGAAGAAATATCATATCAATTGGCTGCCAGCCAGAGTAAAGCTTCGGTTCAGTGTGTTTTTAGACGGAAGATCGCATTTCGTGGGCCACGTTCTGTTTTTTTTTTGGACGCATTAATGTACAGGCATAATCTAGCGCATGTTAGAACAAGCGAAATCGCGTAGTGACTTGGTCGTTCTGTGACTGTTAAAAAGAGCGTAATAAGAGATGTCACGTGTACAATCGAATGAGGTGATCTGCTCCGGCAGTGAAAATCCATGGTTGATTTGGATGGAACTGACAATCCACAACACCTGAAAGGGACGTAAGGAGGGTTTTCACGACTTAATAAACTGCAAGTTAAACAAGCGTCGAGGCGGGTGAGCGAAGAAAATAACGAGGATGGTCATCGCTATTTTTCGTTCATTCAGTCTCGCGCGTATTTCTATTGGGCGACAGCCAACAGATTCAGAACAATGTTCACCAAGTTTTGAAAAGGGCAACATCCCCTATCGATGCTTTATAAGGTTTCAGAGCGTTATAAGATGCAATGAAGAGGTTCTCCATCCCAAGGGGTTCACGTTTCTCCAAAGGGCGTCTTTAACTAATAAAATTCAAATAAAAATGTGGAACAAGTTGTGCAAGAAAACCAGGAGCAAGTATAAAAGATGTGTTAAGAGTTAAATCATCGCGCACAGGAAGAACAGATAAAGTTGCGAACTAACTTACCCAGCTCTCCTTCCACCCGATGTCCTTTCAGTACTTTAACGGGAACTATCAAAGGATTCTGCATCAAGTCACTGAAAAGAATCAGGGAAATTGTTTTTACTGTAAATGGTTTGTGTAATAATTCTTATGACAACTTCCCTAGAGTCAGTGATACGTCGGTAACTTACACTGACAAATAATTCGAGCACCCTTACCTGAACTACCACTATTCAGTGTAAGATTGATTTCTACGAGGCCGCGGGAAAACTGACGAGGTAGAGAGAAGATTTCTATATTTTACTGACAAGGGTAAATATTTTGGTCCAACAAGAACCGTTCCCTGTCGGGATTATTTTTATCGATGAGAAATCGTAAAAGGAAATAGAAAACGGTGCTGTTTACAACACTATAAAAAAAGAAGCTTTTTCCTAGTTCAGCTAGTAAAAAAAATGGCCTCTTAACCGGTTACGAAAGATTACCCACGACCCTTGATTTCTATCAGGAAAAAAGCATTTCAAATAATTATTTTATTTCAAGTGAAACATCACTCAGTGTTGTAATTGCTTTACATGTCCTTCGCAACGGTTTACTGCGAGTTAAGTTCACAATAGTATGAAATCGCCAGTTAGGATCACCAGTAACTTACTTGAATACTCGTCCGTGGCAAACAATAACTGTACCGTCATCGCTGGCAGATGCGAACAGAGGGTAATGCCGATGGAAAGCCACCTGACGTAAGGCCTTTTTATGACTCCTAAAAATATTGATGTTAAGAATGATTTTATTCGGCATTGCAAGACTTGCCAAGAGAGCTAAGCGTTTCAATTAATCACATAGGCCCTGGTACAATTCTCAACTGGTAGTAAAAAATAATCCGGGATAACCTTGGTTTTGGGTTCCTTCGCTATGTGATTGGTCAAGAAAACTTGCGCCATTCTCACAACCAATCACATTCAAAGTTAAACCTAATTGCGACTTGGTCTCTTGTATTTTCTCGCGCCTGCGCAATTTGCGTTACGGTATTTTCATTGGCTCCTGGTGATTTTTTTCCTTTCCTCTGATTGGCTGTGGTGACTACTTTGGTTTTAGTTATACAACACTCGATTGTAATGCGCTCCATTTTAAAATCTGATCTCCTTTAAGTTATTTTACGACTCGAATTTAAAAGAAAAAAGGTTTCAAGAACTGTCCACACCAGAAAACAGATAGAATGTTACAGTACACACTACAACGATCACCAACGAGCAGAAACGCTGAAATGCTTCCTTGAGCATGCGTAATTCAAGTCCTAATCTTCCCGCCCAACAATACAAAGAGTGGTAATTCAAAAAGCTCCGTTAAAGGCAAAAACAGCGTTTTCAAATATATCCACCTTGGACAGCATTATCGAAAAGTATAATTAACCATACTAGTGTTGACGGTATGTCCAAACGAATAAACTTACTTTTTTAAATTTTTCCCGCGTAGCGCAGATAAGGTCTAGGATCGATCTTCTCAAAGGACCTCTTACTTTACATTTGGGGTTTAAATTCAGCTTTTTTACAACAACAATGTAAAGGTTGGAGCAGTTCGGCTACTGTAATCAGGGCAAATATAGATATTTTGCTAGTAAATATGATCACCAACCTTAGCGTTTTGTACGGTTTAGTCGACAAGTCCAAATCAAACCAGCATAGCCGACGGTCATAACTTCCCACAATCAAATTATCCCCTGTAAGAAATTAAACGAGTATATCTAAATCAGACACTGAAAAATTTCTACATTGCACAAGCCTTTGCTAGCGAGTTTCGACAAATTCAAGATTGCGCATCAAGTACAACTTTGACATTTACGGGAAGGAAATAACACTGCTAAACTGTAATAAATAAGTCTGCTTCACCATTGTGATTTAAAACTTGAGACCGATTGTCAAGTTTAACAGAGTAAATAGCAACCTCGTGGTTTGCACAATCTTTTCCTCCAAAATGCATCCTTGTTCCATCTCAGATCTTGAGTTATTTCACTTCTTTTGCGTTTCACCGTCTCATCAAAGTATTCGTTTGTGGTCTCTCTAAGTTGAGAGTAATCTCGGAGCACTACCTATTTTTCCCCTCAGCGTAAATCCCGTCGTGAGAATACGGCGATTTTTCCCGCCGATTTTTGTTGACGTAAGCAGATTACGCTTGGAAACGGGAACGGCTGCAAGCCAAGTCCACCAAAATATCACAGAAACTGCCCCGAAAATAACATTTACTGGACATCTTAGTTTTTAGAGATTTCAGAGAATGATTTTAACTTGAGGGAAGCGTACCTTTCGGATGCACAGCCATACTGGAGATCCACTTCACGTTTGACACAAGTTTCTTCGTTTGCTCTTGTTTGATGAGGTCGTAGACTCTGATAAATCGCTGTGTCTGAAGAAAGAAGGCAAAGTAGGTGTAGAAACGAAAATCAGGTAACTTTTGTGTTCGTATGCTCACAAAAAATATTTAACAGTTTCAGAACTGTGATAGTTTCGCTTGAGTTTTACAAGTTGTTGGAGCTATGAACAGATCATCGATTTTCGCGTTTTTGTCGCCTATTTGCGGGATAGTGCGCATTGGTCGGGAGTTGATGGAACTGACATAACGGCGGCTACTTTTTTTGTCCGGACTTGTGGGGATTCTAAGATGAAAACAAAATATAGAGACATTTCTTCATACATTCACCATAAGTAATAATCCACCATTCATCAAATCACCATTTTCAAAGCATGAGCCGCGACTTAAAAATCCGAATGGTGTTACGTATTTTCTGCATTCATAAACCTAACTGAAGTATCCTACAAGTAGAATCAACGTACAAGAAACAATTGTCACCAATTCCACAGTTTACAATACTTACAGCGACAAAAAGAAATGGTCTCGTCGGGTGAAACAACACTCTTTGGATTAAACCTTTGGATTTCTTGAAGGGACACTGAAATATGACGAGAATATCAACTCGATAAGTGGAGCTTTGCTAGTGATAAAAAGGAAAGTTCTTCCTACAGCTAAACAATAGTATATTGAAAGCGATTGGTTAGTAAGGTCTGTAAGACCTGTCGTCTGTTTAGCTGCGAGCAGGCTCACGGGTTTCGCCTCACGGCCCCTTCCAGTAACAGCTCGCGCATTACACCGTCAGCAGTCGCTCATGGAAAAGTTTATTGAAACCACCGGAGAAATGTATATTTTTCAACCGCTCAAAAGTTGATCGGAGGCTTCACGTACCTGACTTCGACGTTTTGGTATGTGGTGGATGAACACAGATTTGTTGCCACCTTGGAGATATAACAAAAAGTTCGAATACTGTTTCAGCAAAACATATCGAGATTCCAAAAGAAGAAAAAGTCCTCAGGACAATGGAAAGACATATACAACGCAGAAAGCATATCGTTTTTGTGGAAGATCTTCCTCAAAATAGTTCAAAGTTAATCTCTCACCCTGGGGTACAACCGACGCCAAATAGTCTCCCTTTCCATGCCATGTTATCTGCGATATGACCTGTTGAAACATCAAAAACTTGCTAGAGAATAATTTTACTTAAACCTTTAACAGTCTCCATGAAATCTGTTCTTTTGTGGCCATCTCTACTGAGAAATTTTAGTCCTTGGCAAGTTTTACCATAACAAGTCTGGGATGCAAGTTTTAAGCAAGGGTGGGTATGACGACGGCGAGCAAGCGTGGCTGCAATGTGCAGGAACAACTTCCATGAAAATACTTTATTGGCTAAAAAGGTACAACCTCCAAACTGATTGGTCAGAGTCAACAAAAATGGCCCAGTCACGAGTGCAAGGATAAGGCTGCTCTGTTCAACGACAACATTACCTTGCTGTGTTTTAAAACTAAACGTTCTCCATTTCTGTAGTCTTCCCCTATAGCCACTGACCACTGTACGCCAGATTCTTTCTCAGCTGTGAAAAGATAAGTAAAAAGATGAGATTCAGTCCAAAGTGAAAAGGAGTGTGCAATAAAACAGAGCCACATGACTGAAAACATTCTGACAAACATCTTAAGCCCATAATTAGAATTTTACCTTCTCCTGTAGGAATATCAAATAATTTATCCGTCGTTTCACACAATTCTTTGCAACCAAGATAATGATTGATAATGACGACTTTGTGTTCGCTGTAAAGAAAAATAGAGAGGTGTTCAAATTAAGACAGGTGTTAACCTGATACAGGGCATTTTTGTGCCGGCCCAAGTTCTCCGTGGTTCTTCCTCATGGTTGTATATTCGTTCACATGATATCATCAGAGAATGTCACACCAGAACGAATCCCACTAGTTGGGAAATCTCGCGACAGTATCACGAAAACGAAGACCAACCGCTCGTTAGGGTAAAAAAACAGGCCCTACCGTTGACAGGAACTAATAGCGCCGGCGTGAATTCCGTCAATCCAAGAGGGCTTCTTCAAGGCGGACGAGGAGAAAACAGACGCATTTGTAAACGCGATACGAAATTGAGTAGTCATTCCAATGTTGAACTCGCATTGGTGCGGGTTTTTTAATGTTAATACACCGTAGGTAGACATTAAAAATGAGGAAGCGTTTCTCGTCACATCTAAAATTCATTTTGGTGCCCAAATCTCTCTCCATAAGGAGATGAAGGAATATTGATGATGACGACGAACCTATGTATTTCACTTCTCCGCAAGCAAGCAACAATTTTTAACTTGCCACTTACACGGCAATAGCCAGAAGCATCAGGAAGGAGTTTGGATTCCATGCCATACTGTTCACAGTACCACCACACTGCAACGTCTTGAGACATCGTCCTGTGCACACTTCCCAGAACTTCACAACTTTGTCATCGCCTCCTGACAGCAAAGTAAGAAGCAAATGAGTCTATAATATAGGAACTTCGCTGCGTGTACTTAGCCCTTTAACTCCCATGACTGACCAAGTCAGAATTTCTCCTTACAATATCCATTAAATATCAACCAGATAAGTGATGAGTATAAAGAAAAAAATCAATTTGGGGATAATTGATTCAATACTAAATTCTCTGAACTAACATTATAAGAATTGTATGGGTGACAGTAGGGAGAATTACAAATTTGATCTGGGAGTTAAAGGGTTAACTATACGCTGTGATTGCACTGTATGGATAGCAAGTAAAGTATTGAATTTTAGCCTACATACCAGACGCTATCCATTGTCCCGTGGGGTCGACAGCGAGGCAGCGCACCACACCTGTATGACCCTTGTACACCTGAAAAAATACATGCTCATCAGAACGAGGTAGAAGTTCGACTACAAAGCTGATGAACAAATATGAACTAAGTTTCACACACAATTGAACTACAGCAGAACATGTGTTCAATAAACTATAAATTTATTGAAAGGAAGGGGTTAATTTTCTAAAGAAACTGTGGTGCAGCGTCTGTGGAAGGTATTACAAGATGACTTGGTTTTAACAACGGAGTCTATAAATGTAAATTGGCCACCGTAAAGAGTTTCTAAAGCGCACATTTCGGGCGTCAGCCCTTCGTTAGAAAGGCTCTGACGAAGGACTAACGCTGAAAAATATGTTGATCAGTTTTGTTTGAGGAACCAATTGTTATTAAGGGTGACAGTGTATTAATATACAGTGCATTTTTCACTGGTTATACGCGTAAGTGAACTGAAACATTATGTTTACACAAAATGCAAGATTTATACTTACAATAGATTCTGTTGACGGGAATGGCTGCAAATCTTTTGGCCTGGGAAGTTTTGGTAAAAGATCTTCTGGATTTACTTGGACCTACTCAAAACAAACAAAAAAAACCAAATATCATTAGGGACATAACTCCAGAATTTTGATGAATGTTCACACTTCTTTAACAACATTTGTTGCTGACAAGCAGTGGTTAGTGCCTGGAGTGGGAATGCCTCACCCTCATTTTTCTTTGTCTTGGGCAGAGATATAAGTCCAGACATCTCTCAAAACGTTCTTGGATAAACTTATTATAAGCTGGAACAAGGCGGAGACTTGAGTACCTAAAAATAAAGGAACATATTTCATAAACTAGCATTAACTCATGTAGTGCTAAATTTTTACATGTAGTAAACAGCGACAGTTATGATTGACAATTAAGATATTGCCAAATTCAGGTCCTTTTTGTCCTTTCACTCCCAAGATCTGATTGTTAATTCTCCCTCTTGCTGCTACACTTTCCTTTATTGTAAATTAGTTCCAAGAATTTGGTTTTAGATTGAGATAACAACTCTTACCTCATTACCTGTTTGTCGGATAATGTATGGAAAATACAGGGAGAAGTCGCATGTTGATCATTTCTGGGAGTTAAAGGGTTACTCAATGCTACATAGTATGTATACCATGCCCCTGTTATCTACAATTTTCATTCAGTTAACTGTAAGGTTTGATTTTCACTTGGCAATATTTTTAAGAAATGCTGGCCTAGAGACTTGCTTGTGACATTGTAAACCCTTTAGCTTCCAGAAGTGATTTACATGTAACTTCTCCCTACAATATCTATACACTATCCAAAAAACAGGTAACAAGATTACTCAGACTTATCAGTTAGAGGTTGTTATCATGATATACCACCAAATTCTTTTAACTAAATTACAAGGAAATGTGTAACAGCTGGATGGGAGAATTAACAATCAGATCTTGGGAATTAAAGGGTTAACTTGTTTTGCTGTTTTTGTTATGATTTTGCAAAAGAAAGAGTGGAGAAGTGAGACCACTAGACGTCAAAAAAAATTTTAAGAACGGAAGTAACAAAAGTGGTTTGTTGTGAAACCTTTTTAAAAAGCATTGTTATATAAAGCAACTGACTTTTTAGGAAGAAAATTTTGTGGTCTTTCATCAGGATCCATAGCTTCCCATGCTGCAATCTTTGGAGAAAAAAAATTGCTACCATTACAGTAATTTTAAACAATCAAAAACCCTCTCAATTGTTTGCAAAAGTAACAAATAATCAAATTATTTAAATGATTATGTGAATAAATTGTAGGATGTACAATAATCTTAACAATATGAACAGTCATGGTGTATTGGACAAGAGAGCAGGAAACTCAGTGTTGAAAAAATGGTCAAGACATGTTTGTTATTTGCTTGGTGGGAGGCTCAGTAAGAGAGAGAAAATTGTACTCAAAACCAAGGGCAGAGGTTTTTCCCTTATGGACCAACCCAGACCAGTAAATTAGTTCTTTTTCTTCCAGGTTTTGCTTTTTTCCCCTTAGCCACAGATGGCACTGAAACAAATTTCAGGACCATGGTCTGCATTACTTGTGAGAAGACCATTAGTCAATGAAAAAAATATATGCATACGTTGTTAGCTGAGAAACAATTCATCTCATTTCCCTTACCTCTTCCTTAGTTGGTAAGTATTCTGGTGGAGGATTGTAAGACTCCTCATGGCCTAAATTAAATAAATAAAATTCACAGCCACTTAACATGAAATATCAAGGAAAGTCAATTTGGATTCTTGAAAGATGGTCAATGTAAAATTAGCAATGACCAGATTCAAAATCATCTGACCACCACTACCATTAATTGGTAGTCTGATGCAACTCTTACTATAAGACAGACTAAGGCATGAGATAAACATTCAAACAAGATGATCATGAATGAACATCTTTAACAACAGTTGTCATTCATTTAAGTTTTATTCATTTCATAGTACCTGGGAGTTTCATTTTAGGTGCAGGAATATGCATGTTGTGTCTTGGTTTCGCCTTGAAAAAACAAACAATAAACATTATATAAAAGTAGTCAATTGTTGAGCAAACTTCAGTAAGGAAAAAGTTTGACAAACCCAAAAATATCTTGATAATAGACCATTTTCTATATAGTATTGTGTTACAACAAAACCATTGGAATTCATTCAACTTTTTCTCTATCCTAATTTACTTAAGAAAGTAGTAGTTTAAGTCAAATTAAATTAACTCTATTTCCCTTTAACAGAAGCTAAAAAGTAACATCAAAGATGCATTTACCTGGTTGTCATCTTTATCCCAGATCAGATAATACCTTGGTTTATCAGTCTTTTCATCTTTCCTGGGTTTTATCCAGCCATTCCTAATTGCTCTGACAATCTTTATAACCTGGCTCACAGAAAGAACAAAACTTACTCATTTAGTACTGTAAAATTAACCAAAAATAATTTTCATTGCTAAAAAATAAACATACAACAAAGCACAATAGAGACAATTTTCTCACTCCCCCCTCCCTATTATTTCCCTGCTAAACCTCCACACCCTCTGAAGAAGTTTCTCTCTCTGATTCCAACCTTTCTCTACTTTAAAGATCAAAGACAATTGCCAAATTATTATGAACAAATTTTGAACTCTGGGTTGCCCAAAAAAATGTTGGAGGCAAGTATATCCTTCCTTTCCATGTATAAATATATATTACCACAACAAGTGAACAAATGACTACCTTACCCTCTTGTGTTCCCATTTGGATGGAATGTGACGTGATTTGGGTTCAGGAGCATTAGTCAAGGGATGTATCATCTTCTCACCAGTGAAAAAATCTACATAGGGCTGATTGGAAGAAAATAAAATAATACTGTATATAAGAGTTGGTTGGTTTTAGACACTCACAAGAGTTCTTTAATGCATTGTGCTGACATGAGTGTGTACTATTTTTCCCTACACAAAATGCAAATGCTGCAGTAGTTTCTTGTTCATGCAACTTTGGGATTCTAACAGTAAAGCCAAATCAAGTGTTACTATTCTAACAATGAGTTTATGCTAAAAAAAGTTTATTTTAATACTCCAACAAAAACCAAGCAGTTACGCATTCAAAAGCCAGGAAAAAACTGACAACCCTAAATGTACAGATTATTATTGGATCATTAGTGGTGCGCAGTCATTGGGATTTAATTCATGTTCCCCATTTAAACATATATGGCCCAGTAATATATGCCTGCATACTTCAAACAGTATTTCTTTGCAACTACAACAGAAAAAATGTAAAGTTAATCAAGCATATATAGCTCTAAAAGGTAACAATGATGTACATTCCTCTTGCTGTTGTTTTTTTCTTTTTTGATTCCTAAATCAACCCAATTCTTTAAAGCATACCTCATAAGGATCATATCCAGCACTTGGAAACTTAGAATTTTGAAGTCTATCAATAATATCCAACTCTTCATTACTTAGAACAACTTCTTTCATGGTTGATTTATCTTGGACTGTTCGCCTATAAAAGGTTTAAGCATATAATTTACTCCAGCTTAATTAATACATAATAAATATAATTAATGATGAAAGATTTATCATCAATCATCATAGCTTTCGTCACTTTATTTAACTAGTTAAGTGCTGGTGAACAGTTACACAAATATATAATGTAATCACACAACTGGCATGTAGAGTATAAGTCTTCAGTTTTCAAATAATTGCAACACTCACCAATAATTAGGATCATCCATTTTAGACAAGAATTGATCCAACTAGCAAAGAAAAAATATATTTTAAATTCAACATGCCCTAAAATTCCTGTCATTTTCACTTAAACAGTGCTGTTTGTTGTGACCTTTTCTGCATTTATGGGATTGATAAAATACTTTGAAGAACTCAGTTAACACTTGCCCCCTCACATGTGCAATCACAGACTTTGCTTCATTTTTATTGTTCAATTTCAGGTGCATGCTCATTGGTTAATTCAAGTGATTTAAAAGTTAATGACAGTATGTTTTAATTTGCCACAAAAAAAAGTGGATTTCGGATTTTAGAGTTTAACTGGACTTGTATTGTCCTTTTGACGTTTAAAGGGATCTCCTAATTGATTTTACAAATTCTGAGGGCTTTTGGGAAAACCATCAGAACACTGATGCTGTTTAGGATACAAACCTCATCAGCAGTAGCAGGCTTCAATATTCTTTGTCCATCCAAGTTGTAGCCTATGTGAGGATACTCATTATACCACTCTACAGGAATGTTTCCAATGGTATTACATGCATCCTAGTGTAAAAAAGAGGGGATTTAGATGGTAAAAATCAGAGAAAAAGATGTAAGAATGAACGTGAAGCAATTTTTTTAAATTCAAAATTGCTCACAACAAATTTGCTCACACTCAAGAAGTTACTTCATCTAAAAATAAGTCAACCTGCCCACAATCTAAGGGAAATGAAAATTTTAAGCTTCCCTATTGCTAGTCCTTGGATAAATAAAGTAAAAGAATTATTAAGTATAGATGGAGATCTTGATTAATACAACATCTTTTCCTAAATCTACCTCCTCGTCAGATGTGTTATCTTCATCAACTGACTCTTTTACTTTCTTCTTCACCACATCTTCTTCATTTTTGTTTGGCTCACTATTATATATCTCTGTCACATTGACATCATCATTCTTTTCATTATTGTCACTATCACCAGAAGACTCATTACCACTTGTTGCCTCTTCTCCCTGAAGGAGGAGAAAAATTTAGAATTGCCATCAACTCATTCATTTAACACTGATATGGTAACGTGGGATGATCTAAACTGGAAATTTTTTGCATGCAAAGAACTGACTGGACATCAAGTAAAGAAATCTCACCGAATTAGAGTCCTGTTCGTCGTCATCGTCATCATCTGATGTTTCTGACTCGCTTTCTAGTCCGGAGTAGTAGCTTTCTTCACTATCTGATGAATCAGCATTCTCTTTTAACCTGTCTGTTTGATTTCCCTCAAAACGAAACAGATTCTCATCAACCTGTCATGGAATTAGAAATCCGTCAATTGTGTTGTTCATGCCAAAAAAAATATCTTGACTGAGATTCAAGCATCACATCTCGTGTCAGTTTCATTACATTGCTGACCTCTTTGGGGAATGTCTCCTTGTTTTGTACAGTTTGTTCGGAAGTTCTCTTAGGCATTACGTGAAGAGAAGGATCTTAGGAGGACGCCACGGTCTTGAGATTTGCATAAACTTTAAAATATAAAAGAGATCAAGGAGAAGACAGATCACAACATTCCGCCATGTGCAATCTTAGCTCATCACCATTCCTTCTGGTCGAGCTTTTCTTTGGAAAACCACTGGATAGTAGAGCGTGGGCGCTTCTTGTAAAATCTTAGGAGTTTGTCATCAACCAAGTAGATCTGAGTCACGAACATTTTCTGGAAAAAAAATGGCTGACTTCTCGTCTCTTTTGTTCTTTTTAGTCGGAATCGCCTTCTCTCAAGCAAGTGTAATCGACCTTACGAACGAAAATTTTGACTCGGTATGTATTTTCTAGGATGTTATCGTTTGAGAAGAGGACGCAATTACTTATGCACAATCTGAGAGAGCGGTGTCAAACAATGATTGGACGAAAGTATTGAGTCTGAAAACTACAAAGTGACCAAGATTTTTTCGCAAAAATCAACGAAGTTGATCTTATTGATTTTCTTAAGATTACAATTTGATCGAGAAGCTTCACTCCCAATGACTGTTTTAATAAAACTTTGTTGCCCCAATCGATAAACTAAAAATTTTTGACACGTGGTCAACTGCAGACATATCATTCTGGTGTACAAAATGCTAAGATGTTGATGTACTTTTATCACCCTAACCATTTCTTGTTATTCTTCTTTTTTCAGATTGTAAATGGCGATAAATTTGCATTTGTTGAATTTTACGCACCCTGTGAGTAGAACACCAAATGAATTTGGTAAAGTACACAATTGAACTTAATCCAAGATAGGAAAATTATCCTTTTAGGAAAAAGAAATTAACTCCTGATTAGTAAGCATCCGAACTAGGTGAATAAATCTTCTAATGACAGACCTGCCAACCCTAGGTTTTTTCTCTTTTTTTCCCTTTTGATTTATCTTTCCTTATTGTTTCACAACTAGACTTTTTAAAGTTACCACTCAATCATGTTTGGAAAAAAAAGAGGGGAAAATACTAGTTCTAGATATTGAGATGAATAAAATAGCATTTGGAAATTATTGAAAAACGGTGAAGGGAATTGAAAAGGAAATCCCAGGGGGTATGAACACAAGAGAAGCCTTTGTGTTTCTTATGTTACACCATAGACACACAATGGTGACAGGGTGGCTTTTACATAGGATTAACTCTGTTAATAGTTTAGATGGAGCTAAGTCAGTTGCTAGATCAATACTAAAATTTTCAATAGACACAGGGTTCTTTTACTGGTTTTTGGTGTCATTGTTGCCTTTGTTCTATACCTGGTCATGTTATTACACCCCTCTTTAAGCACACTCTGCAGTGGGCAATAAAAAAGTTCTATTGATTTATTCAGTCACCATGTTTGATCTTGGAAATAGAATATTATGAATTTTCAGTGAGCTTCCAATCTAAACTGCAACACTATTAACTTCATCTTTGATTTTTGCCGGCATTCCTAACTTATATCTGGTGGTTTTGCCCAATTGCAAGCCCTTCCTTTTACCACTTTTGGGAGTTTGTTCTTTGCAGTAGAACAAATTGGGCTCCAGTTAATTACCAGCTCTCCCAAAATCTTTCAACTAGTTTCCTTACAGCAGACCTTTTTTATTGAAATCGTAATAAATTTCAATCTACATGAAACTTCACAGCAAGACCATAACATATTTCAATCAGCATGCAAATTACAAGCCGTGCTGATGTACAACTTCTCCAGAAGCAATTTAAAGCTGCTACATTACTGCAAACTTTATCTAACTGGTTTGACACAACTTTATACTAATGTTTGGAGCAAATTTCAAGGTTTAGTTGTATAAACAAAAACTAATTAAAGCTAAAACAGCTTCTTTAGGAGTCATCATATATTCTGTAGTAATGACCAAGTTATCTATTTTGTAGTTTTATTTGCACTTGTTCATGCATAACCCTATAACTCCCACAAGTAACCAAGATAGAATTTCTCCTAATGTTATTAATACAATATCAAGCAGACAAGTAATGAAAACAAAGAAAATTTCAATCAGGGACTTGTTAGTTGATCCAATACCAAATTCTCTGAACTAACATGATAAGATCTGTGTGGCAGAAAGTAAGGAGAATTACTAATGAGATCTTGGGAGTGAGAGTTAAATGGGTTAGCCAAGATGAGGACCAAACCTCTTTGATGAGAGCTAAGTGTACTAGTTGTTATGTCACCTTGTCTTCAATGTCTTGCATCAAAAAACATGAATATTGATGGGGTGTTTGATGTATTCTAAGGGTGTGGTCATTGCAAAGCTCTTGCACCAACATACGAGAAGCTAGGAGAAGCTTTTGCTAAAGCTGATGATGTCGTTATTGCCAAAGTGGATGCCGATGCAGACAAAACTCTTAGTTCCAGATTTGGAGTTAGCGGTTTTCCTACCCTTAAGTACTTTCCAAAAGGAAGCACAAGTGCTGAGGAGTAAGAAATGGTTTTTTTTACTAAGACCTCTTGCTTTTTGTAATCTGGTTGCAGAACTTCAAGTTGTAACTGTTTTTGTTGTTCTTCTAGTAGTAAGCTGTAGCCAGTGAGGTGTTTATTAGATTCTGTTGAGAGACAAATATTCGTATAGACCACTATCAATGCTCTGTTGTTTTCTTTGACAAAAATCTCTTGTTTCTCTTTGGTTGCTCAAGTATCTTACCTCAAGATGTTAATTTAACCTCCAACCAAATTTTTTTACTGGCAACATAAATTTTATATCTTGCAACCATGGTGTGATTCCAGGCCACCAATTACTAACTTTGAAAAGATTCAAGATTGGAGGATTGTTTTGTGCATATTTAACATTGTTGTGTGCATAAGTGAGTTAATAATTTACATTTGTATTTCTTCTGCATTGCAGCTATTCAGGTGGGAGGGATATTAAAGATCTTGTGTCATTTATTGAGGGTAAAAGTGGTAAGTAACATGATATTTTCTTGTTGTGAAATTTTAGCCAATTTCAATTGAATATTTTAGTTCTAAGCACCATAGGAGGAAAGAATTGTATGGCAGATATTAAGGAGACTTACTGATGAGATCTTGTGTAGGAAAGGGTTAAACCCAAAGAGTGACCAGCATTTAAGCTCTCCTCACAGTTATACTGATAAATCTTTCCAGGAGGTCATGAGGGTAAAACAAACAAAGGCCAACTTACCAAGCTTTGATTTTAAATGAATTCTCCTTGTCAGTACCAAAAGACATTTATAGAGAGGAGCATGGAGAATTTTGTTACCAATCTTAAGGTGTAGAGGGTTAAAAGGATAGCTGTAGATATGTTTTGTAAATTTCACTTAATCAAATAAGTCAAGTTGCATTATTTAGAGAGAAAATGCAATTTGGGACACTTGGGTGTGGTCATTATGCAATAAACTTGAGTTTGTTAGGTTTTTTAATTTACTACATTGTTTCTTTTTTCATTTAATATATATCATTTATCAATTTCTCAGGTGCCAGAGCCAGTAAGGCTATCTTCAAGGAAAATGTTATACAACTGGATTCTTCCAACTTTGACTCAGTGGCATTGGACAAGACAAAAGATGTTTTGGTCGAGTTCTATGCCCCATGTAAGAATTTTTATTGTAATTATTTTACTCCAAACTTTGTCACACAGTGCTGAAATTTTTCTGCATGTTTTCTTGTTTTTCAGGGTGTGGCCATTGTAAAAACCTTGCCCCTGTGTATGAGAAAGTGGGACTTACATTCAAGAATGAACCAAATGTAAGTTGTTATAGTGCAAGATATTTTTTTGTTGTGTAAAGCATATCTTGTGTTCTTGTTGTTGTTATTTTGTTTTGTGCCACTCCCATTTCTCAGTAGAATTCGATGAGATTGTCTTGGTTAACTGTTAATTGTAGATCATGCCACTTATTTTTAGGCAGCACTGCAGACAATCCAATTTGACATCTCCTTCATGAAGCCCTTTAAATTAGGAAGGTGATTTCAGGTCAAGTAGATGACAGGAGTCGATAGAATTGTTCAGTTTAGCAATGCAAACTGTATAAAATGTTGCAAATTCTCAGACACTGTACCTCTTTTAGTGTGAAGACTAGAGCCTTGAGATTGGTGTATTTCTCTTCGAAATGAAACAGATGAACCTAGCCTGCTAATAGTTAACTTTCATGCAAACAAGACATGTCCTTTTGGACTGATTGCTCATTTGTTTATTTCATAATTTAGTATACTTTGTGTATTTCCAGTGTGTTGTAGCCAAAGTTGATGCTGATGGAGAAAGGACTTTAGGTGAAAGGTGAGCTTTTGAAGGGCAAAATGTCATGATGTTGTCATGTCTAACTATGATCATGAACTTAAGATAATGAGTGAAAAAAGTGGGTTAGTTTGTGTAGAAACTTTGGTGCTGTCAGTTATACAGGATAATTTGGTTTTATCAACTGAGTTGGTAATTTATAGTGGCCACTGTAGAGAGTTCTTAAGCTGTTTTTTTGTCAGAGGGAAGGGCTCTGACAGAGGGCTAACACTTAAAGGGCCTTATGGTAACACTTGTTAGCTCAGTTGGTTGAGCACTGCACTGGTATCACAGAGGTCATGGGTTCAAATCCCGTACAGGCCTGAATTTTTTTCAGGCCTTCTTTTCACTACTGCTTAAGTAGTGTTCATTACTGCGAAGATCGCTTTCATATTCACGTCTTTAACTGCAGTTCAATTATATGACTTTCATATATTCACAGCCATTTATTCACCACTTCACGGGTTTATTTGGAACCAACACAGTGATCATTACTGCGAAGATCGCTTTTATATTCACTTTATCCTTTCTTTCAGGTACGGTGTGAGTGGCTTCCCAACTATTAAATTCTTCCCCAGAGACAGTGAGGAAGCAGAAGAGGTAAGTTGTATCACATAGTTCTCTCCTATAAACTGTTTTGTGGTGTATGAGATTTTTAGGTATATTGATGTACCAAAAGTAGTTGTCCTCTCTAGAGAAGCATGATTAAAAATGCTCAAAATTTCACTGAAAAATTAAAAACATAAAAGGAAACTTACTTATTAAAATCTTTTTTAAGGATACACAAGGGAGATTTCTGTGATTGTCCACTTGAACCTAACATCAGTATGCAATTTCTCCCTGCAGTTCTCTAAATATTTCATGGTACTTTCAAGGAGATATTAGCTGCTTAATCACTCCTACAGGGTTAAAGTGTTAATGCAGGTTTCAGAGACTGTTTATTTCATCTACCTCCTATGCTTTTTCGATTTGAGCTGTGCTAAATTTGAGGGCTACGTTTCTAATTGTTTTGTTGTGGATTTTATTTCAGTACAGTGGAGGCCGTAGTGAACAAGATTTCATAGACTTTCTGAACGAAAAGTGCAAAACCAAAAGAAAATCTGGTGGAGGAATTAGTGATGATGTAATATACTGCTTATACTTAGTAGCCTTAAGATATTATAATCATTTTAACAAAATTTTGATTTAGCAATTTTTGAGAAATTGTAACTTATTTAGCAAATTATTTAGAAACCATGGGCTAAAACAGAGGATTATGTTAAAATTGTACTTAAGATGATTATTTAAATTGAGTTTTTGTTTCTTAGTATTTTACTCAAGGTTAAAAACCAAGTCCTTTATATTAAATGACTTTTTTGTCGTTTAAAACTCATCTTGTGAATCAGTGAAATATTCTAGAAGGCCTTGGTTCTAATTTTGCTCTAATGTAATGTTGCCTGATGTAATTCTGGGTTAACTTTTATCACTGAATAAATGGAAAGGAAAACTGTGCATCTTTTGTTTTTCTGCAGGCTGGAAGGATTGACAAATTTGATGAGTTTGCCAAGGATTTCATGAGCAATGTGGTAAAAATTGACTTTGATTGAAAGGAATGAAAATGAAACCTTTTGCTTCATGGACTTTCTGTGACTTGTTCACACAATGTGTTTTTTCCTTCTGTTAAGGATAAACGTGATTCAATCTTGGAGGAGGCCAAGTCCCTCATTGATGCACAAGAGAATCCTAAGTAAGTGTAAGATAAGCTAGACTACAACTGAAATGTATTCCTTTAACTCTTCACACTCTTACATCAGAATCCATACTCTCCATACTGCTCTCTCTACACTTTCAAAGGTGCTGATCAGGAGAATTGGTTTAACAAAAAAGAGCTTCTTTAGTTGGTGATCATTTCCTTTATTCTTGCAACCTTAATGTTTGACTCAGGGGTGATATTGTAAAGAGAAATTAGATGCTAGTCATTCTTAGGGGTTAAAGGGTAAAATTGACCAGCTAATCACACAACCAAATAAATACTGACTGTTGGCAACCAGAATGTTAGTTACAGCTATTAGTATGGGACTAACTTAATGTCTTATCAGTGTTCTTCATTTTCTTCAAGGGACAGAACCTTGATCAATATTCTTTTTTGCCCTTCTGTATAAAAAACTGGTGATCATTTATGAGAAGGAATATGTTTGAGCCAAAGAACAATCTTAAATACTTTGCATTTTGTATTTTACTAAGCACTCCCTTTTGGTACATAAGTTGTTCCCCTTGATGACTGAAACAAGTATGTTTAATTACCACATGGGACCTGCATTTAAAAATTAAATTGGGCTCTGGTTATCAATTTCTTGTCTTTTAAAGAGAGAAGCTGTGACTTTTATTCACTGGCCTTGAATATGTAATCAACACAAAAGTATAGAAAACCCAAATCCTTCAGGTTCAATTAACATTGATTTTAACCAGAAGCAAATAACCTGTTATATGCTTCTGTTATAACAAAGTAATAAGCTAACCAGTTTTGATGTTAGACAACATTTGACATTTGCTTATTTTACATTACCTTGCGCAGGGATGCAACCTATTACACTAAGGTTATGGAGAGGGTGCAGAGCAAAGGAGATGCCTTCATCACTTCTGAAATAGAACGCTTGAACCGGCTTCTTGGTAAGATTTCACTACGATTTGAATCTACATAAGTTACATCTTAAACACTTCTTGGTTAACTTGGTTGCAAAAACATTCTTACTGATATTTGTGTTTGTTTCATTTTTATGTTTCAGATGGGGCCATTAGTGCCAAAAAGAATGATGAGTTTAGTGTGCGCCGCAACATCTTAAAACAGTTCAAGGTTGACACTGGTAAAACAGAGCTTTAGAGAGCTCTTTTGCATGATTTTTGATGCCATCTAAAATTTGTTTGCACAAGCTATATTCCTGGCTTGAATGAATGCTTAACACAATAACTAGGTTCTAATATATCATTTTGGTTATGGCCATGTCAAAGCAGAGATGTTTCCAGAATGGCTGGAAAAGCTTTTAATGATTAGTTTTTGTACTGTTTTTTCTGGTGTGTGCGTGAAAGAGATCCTTTGTATATTCATGTCAAAATCTGTTTTTCACCAATTTCTTAATATTAACCTCAGTACTGTTTTTTTGGTTGTTTGCAATGGACTTGCTATTAAAGAACATTACATTGTGTTTTTATTTGTTGTTGTGTAATTGAGTTATGTCCTTTCAAGGTGGCAAGCACATTATTTTAATGGTTAACTAAGCATCCTTCAGTTAAATTTTCATGTGTTTTTTTAAATGACTAGTATCACAGGTTTATTTGGTACATTAACCCTTTACACCATAACATCAATATGCATATTCTCCTTGCTGTTCTTTATACAACTCCAAAGGTGCTGACAAGGAGAATTTGTTAGCCAATCAAAAGGTTTCTTCCCTGATGACCATTTCCTATATTCTCATGACCTTAATGTGTGATTCAGGAGTGATATTGTAGGGAGAAATTAGATGCTAGTCACTCTTGAGGTTTAAAGGTTAAGTAGTGATAAAATGACTCAGAGGCCATATTTCTTTAAAATTTATTTAAAAGTGATATTTTAATATACATATACACACTTGTATCACCATTAACAATTTTGCTGATCATACTTTCTCAGATGTTGCATTTTTAATAAAAATTTCAAATGCCAATGTGAATCTAGATTCACAACAATGGGTTTTTTATTTATTTACTTATTTTTTATTCCACTCTGGTGCTGAAACACAATTTCAAATGTAGAGAAGGACATTTGGGGGCTTACTAGAAAAGGAAATGGTTCATGAGTTTGGTATTTTTGATGGCAGTCTGTTATAAAAAAGTCTGAAGAGTTTCAAGCATGCTGTCCATCTTCACCGCCAGTGCATTGCTGCAACACTGTAAAGCAAACAACAAGAAAAAGAATCTTAACCCTTTAAACCCTAGTATCAGTATGCATATTCTCCATACTGTTCTCTACACATATATAAGGTTATTGATGAGGATAATTTGCTTAACAATCAAGAGCCTTTTGAGTGGGTGGTCATTTCCTATATTCTCTTAACCTTTTTGTTTGATTCAGTAGTGTTAATTCATAGAGAAATTAGATTCTAATCACTCAGAGCTTCATCAGGAGTAATGCAACAGAGAAACTCAAACTCACTTTAAAAGATGAAAACCATACTTTTGGACTAAGTTTATGTTCAATGTAAAAACCTCTGAATTAGTTGATTGATGCTCAATAACTCAGTTGAAGGGAAAGATAATGGTACAGTGAAGAGAAATATGAGGAAAACATAAAATATGATATGGGAATCAATAAAACATACCCATATGTATCTGTAAAATTAGATATGGTAACTTTCTAGGGTTTTTTTTTTAAACAATTGCCAATGAATATGTAACCCTGGCCGATAACTTAAAAATCATCTTGTGATGGTGCTACACCTCAGCCTCAACTGATGCAGATATAAAATGAGAAAGTCACCTGGCTCTTGGATGAGCGTCTCGATAGCGACTACTGTAAACCAAGAATAAAAAAGAAAATCAGTTCTGGCCTTATTAAAACCTAAATTAATCATTCAATTTATGGAATTTATTATTAAGAGAGAGCAGTAGAAATTAAAAGCAAGGGGTTTTATACTAAACATTTGACATGAACCAAGATCTCAGCTTCCCCAGTAAAATCATAATTAAAACCATTCATGAAATGATGCACTCACTAGATGGTGGCAGGAATTGGTCGCTGACCCCTTGTGTCAATATAGGGTTCCTGTCTGAGGGAATACTGCGCAAACAAAAAGAACAAAAATGTTTTTTTTTTATTCATGTAAGCTTGTTTTTTGTTATTAATTCAAGTATTCATAGGACATTATTACTGAGGAAAAAAAATTCCTCTGAATTTGCTTACTCTCCATGATGCAGTCTCCCTTGGTGACAGGTATCTTGTTGCATAACCATTGAACTTCATCTGATCTGCAGAATACTTGAGATATGGTTCAGGCATAAATGTGTATGGTTCTGATGGTTCTGTTGAGGCAAATGGGAAAGTGATCAACTTCTGTTTTCCACCAATCAGGTTTTCTTCACAAACTAGTATTGACAGGTGACTTAAACTGTCAAGCTTCAGCTACAGCAACAAAGCACACTTTTCATTTTACACTGTTTCTTTAAAATATACAACGGAAATGTTCACAATTTTGTTTTGCTGTCATCATTGTTGTTATAGTTATTATTATTATCATTCTCATCATTATTATTAATGTTATTTTAGATATCACTACTATCATCATCATTATTACTACCTTGCTCATTATCATTTTCATTATAATTACCTGTTATCGATATTATTATTTCTCATCACTCTTATCATAAATATCACTCACTATAAGTATTATTGTTGTATATATTATCACTCTTATTACAATTATTATCACAACTGCCATTCATCATTATTATTATTGTTCTTTTCATCACTAATCGTTATCATGATTATAACTCACTTACTATTATCATTATTGTCAAATTTTTCATGACAAAGATTATTATAACTATATTCTAAATAATTAGTATTTTAATTATTATTATCATTGATTGGTGGTTTTAAGTGAATTTTTTTCCAAATTAGTGCAGAAGTGAACTGTTACTACCGTTATTACTCTATCAAAATGTCTAATACAATTTTGTTTAGATTTATTCAAATTTTAAAAAAAATTTTTGTCATTCTGGACTTACCACTATTATTACTCATTATCATCATTATTATTGTATTATAATAATTATTACTATTATAATCATTATGCCAAAAGAAGTTGATTATACTAACCATTGGGAGGAAGAGGGGATGGTTGTTTCTGAGACTGTGACGTCATTGATCGCTTTAGAAATTCTGCCATACCCCTGGAACGGAAAAAAATTAAAAGATAGCGGCATTCATGCTGTTAAAAAATTCCCAATTTTGATACTTTTAATATATTTTCTGGGTTCGGCCATTGAAGATGTAAAGATTTGAGTTGCAGGTGTTTAGCGTGAACATGGGTAACACATGTGCGGGTGACCACGCGGGGTGAGAGAGAGCTTCGTCTGGCCTTCGCGCGCGACGTCTCGTTTGCGCGAGTTGTTCTAGTGACTTTTGAGTTTAAAAATGACAATAATCCATTGCTTCTGTGCTCCCGTGGTATTCCCGCAATCAGAACAGGAAACTTCAATATCAGGGCTGCCCCCGCAGTCCCGTGTGTTCGTGAATCTGATGAAATGATGAATTGATGCGCCGTTCAGTTGCCATTGTTCAAGTTTTTCGTGCGGGGTTTTTTGATTTGCTTATTAAATCGAGTGCACTGTCTTGGCACTAATCTGATAAGCCCGCTGTTTTTGTTCCGGGAGATTTGGTATTGTGTGAAAATTTTACCGTCAACAGAAACACCAAAAACGGTAAACAAACCTTTCATACCATGGAAGCAATGCAGAAAATTGAAATAAACATAAAGAGCTTCTGGAATTATAAAGAAAATAGCAGGAATCGTTAAAATTCGCTTCAAGAGCTCCGAACCTACTCGGGTGAAACATAAATGTTTTACAAAAGTTGCAGCGCACTCCCCTGAACAACAGTTAAATAACTTGCTAAGACAAAAATTAATGATTGCAGATATACTCTCACTTCTGTTCTTTTATGACGTCTATCTCCTCCAGGCAGTATTCAAGGTTCTGAAGTGTGATTTAATTTTTTTTTTTGGTTTTGTCAAACACTTTCACACTTTCCAACAAATCAGAAATCCATATTCTCGCGCGCAAAATCGTAAATCATTAAAAGGTCTTACCCTGATTCGATGGGCTGGTAGGAAGTAGATTGAAGTTGTCGCCCCGTCTCGGTTATTCGCTTAAAAAGCAAATTAAAACATTTCTTTGTAAGTTTATTGAGCATTAATTGCTTATGCACTCTTCTGAAAAAAAAAGCTCCCAAAATCCGTCCTGTCTAGTGACAGATGAAATATCAACTTACTGTGCCTGACAACGACTTCTCAGCTGGTCTGAACAGGGTGATAGTGCGGCTTTCAAAATCCTCTGAAAAGTAAATTCAGCAGAAAGACAATTACTAGTACCCTAATGCTTAAGAGGGAAGTTACCCTAATTTTGCAATCTCGGTATCTGTACCCCGTGTCAGTGGAGTCGTAGTTCGCGAGTGTTCTTCGGGTAACTTGTGAACTGCCGTATCCATGTCCATACGCCGGAATGTTGGTAACATCGGGTGATAGAGACCTTCTTTCACTGAGGCCAGCATATGCGATCTACCCGCAAACCGCGGGTTAACGCGCGTTTGAGTTGTAATCGGCATCGAAAAAGGCGGTCGCAGCGACCGAACTGGAAAAAAAATTAGCCTGCGAGGAAGAAGTTATTCCCTTTGTTCGTAAGCGATTCAGGCCTGCTTGTGTTGACTGTAGACACTGCACAAGGTGTCAAAACTTTATTTCAATGGTGTGCGAGTTTGCGCCAATCAGTGGTGAGCAAAGCCTTTGTGAGGTAATCTGTGTCTGACGTATAATGAAAACTCGAGAGCCGTCTGTCAAGATACCCTGCGAGCTGACAATTTCTACTTGGAATCGTAATTACATGGCAGAATTTCATTTAAGAGAATCAGCTTAATTTAAATGATCACGCACGTCCCTGTCGTTTGAAGGTTAGAGTTTCAGAGAGCCTTGGCTAATATTAATTATCATCCTTGAGGGAATTGAACCTCAAAGTGACCTCATACTGAGTTAATGAGCTAGTGTGAAAATATTAGTTTATAGGTGACAGTATTAATTTGCATCAAAGTAAAAATCAATTCTAGCGTTACAGGAAGGAGTCTCGCTTCACCTGGAAGCACCCTGGCTGAAAATGAAACTAACCTGTTGATAACGAATTGTGATATGCCTAGTTCTTATTCAGAAATGTCAGATTAAATGATCATATATTGTTTTTCCTGCTCGCCTTTGGGTCTGAGATCGATTCGTCGTAAACTTTCTTTTCAGGAACAATAAGAACTCTACTCTTGTCCTTAGAGGAAAGGTGACCTTTGTTGCTTAAACTTAGACAACACACTTGCCTGTCATCAAAAAATTCCATTCTATTCGTAAATAAGTTTTATCTGTTGAAAAGTTTAATAATTTGAATACAAAGAAATGTTTAGTTGTCATTGTCTACGAATCGAATATAGGTCAAAATGTCAAAAATGTTAATTCTTCAAGCAAGAAGTGGTTCATGCGAAAAATCACGGAATAAATGATCAACTCTTTAATCGATAAAGCTACGATAAGGAAAAAAACATGACAGGCCAGTAGTTCACCAGAGAGAAGTTTTCCAAAACGGATTAAAACACGCGCGATTGTCGGGCATTTATCATGCACACGCGCGTGGTTGCTATGGCATGTTGTGTTGTCTATCATATTCCTCCTTTCGCAAATTTCAAGAGAGCAGAGCAGGAGATTTTCTTAATCAACATAATTTTCATTTTCAATTACTTTGAGTCTCTTTGACCTTATAAATATGTTTAAATTTACAAGGTCAAAGTTAGCAAGGCCTCGTTTGTTTTCAAGGCGTAATCACACAAAACAAAAAGCGAAATTTTTTAACTTTATCGCATGATATGAATACATTTGCCTTGGTAGGATGTTTTGATAGGGGATCAAATAAACCTTTAAAATTCTCGAGTGTTAATTGACTTAAATATTCGACAGCCTCAAGAACAAAAGATCGCATTTAGCAGAAAGCCACCTTACGCAAATCAAGGCATTCATAGTCCGGCATAATAATATACGCTTGTCGAGAGGCCATGAATAGCAGAAATTTTTTAGAGTTATGATCCCTTACACTAAATTCTGTATGAACAAGATCAAATTACAAACCTGTTAAAAACAAACAAAGTTTATAACTACAATCGAGAAAGAGAATCGAAAGGAAAAATAATCGATATTCACCGGCTTGTCTGGAGGTAGAATTCCTGCAATGTTCTATTGGAAGTTTACAAAGTGTGCTATCGCGATCCATCTGTCGATATGTCGGTGGTTTAGGATGAATCATTCCTTCCTTCACCGCAGCCAGCATCCTCCGAGGAGGCGAATAGCCGTAGTCTGTTCCGTGCGGTCTAACGGCGTCATGTTGGCTAAACCTTATACCCTGTCTGTCATAGTAACGGCTGCTAAGAGCGAGTTGTAAATGACGGGACATTTTCGCTTTTGAAAAATTCCTCGATCGCTGCGGGCTGGCGTAAGTCGATTTGAAGTTGTTACCAGAGCGTGTAATGTAACTAAGTACGTGCAATTTGAATCGCTTTTGTTTTTGTTCAATGGAGACAGCTGGCTAATTATTGCAATCCAGGTTATAATGTAGACCCGCGCGCGCGCTGGCTTAAGGAGAACGGGAACTAGAAAGGCCGCATGGAAACCGAGCTTTTGGAATGTGTGGAGCCAGCCTGGTCAAGAACTAAAAATGCGTTGATGTTGATTGAAGCTATCACGCTTTGTGACTGCCGCTTTCGCCCTTCAAGTGCTCATCTGAATAATGATACTTAAAAAAGAAGACTCCTTTGGCCTACTTTGAGCTGCCTTTTATTTTCAGGAAATACAAAAACGGTACCGTCTGTCATGGACATCTTAGAGAGAAAAAAAAATAAAAAATAGAAAGGTAGAAAAAAAAAACCGCTGTAATCGATGTTGCAATTTAACTCAAAACAAACGATTAAATGGCTAAAACGTTATTGTAACACGAATGGTTACTACGTAACGGTGTTTCATAATTTCTGTTGGCCGTAAATAATAAATTTGGAAGCGTGCGCATAAATTACAGAGTTCCTTATTAAAAGCCGTCCGAAGGAGCTCAAAACTTATTTTTCCTTGACATGTAAAGCTGCTCGGAGTTTTCTAAAAACGATAAAAAAGAAACTTATGCTGAGCTTAGATTGTAACAATTTTCAGATTGGCAACATGGTTGCCAAGGAAACTCTAAGCGTTGGTCCATACTCATAAGTTGTGAAACCATTACAAAGTTATAGCAAGTTATAATCACCTCTGTTACACGGTGTTGAGTGCCGCGAATGTTCATCTGTTAGTTTCTTTAACACTTCATCCATATCCATTCTCCTTAAAGTCGGAAGACGAGGGTTGTATAAAACTTCCTTCACAGATGTCAACCTGCGCTTAGGGCCGAGAACTAACGGCGTGCTCGGTTCATTTGCGGATATTCCTTCTCTGGAATAGACGTTTAAGGTCTTTCGGCCAACGGTGCAGGGATCTGCCCAGAGTGTGTAATATTTTGTGGCCATCCCGTCGGTGCTAAGTATTTATATTTCCTATTTAATTTTGGAATGCTAAATAGGAAACCGTGTCTGTTGTCACACGAGGTGAAGTGCTGTAATATTGGGACTGGGCAGCTGTGTCTAAGTATGAATTATGTATAAGAAACGGAGGTTGTTTTCTTTTAAATTATTAAGGCCCGTTGGCAGGAATTATTTCTGAAATTGTTTCAACCCTAGTACTTGTTCACGAAACTGTCTGACTAGGGAGAGGGAAAAAAGGGTAGCTTAAATTCATACCGTACTGACAGTTACGCCAGTGCTTCACTGTTCATTAAGAAATTGATAATTTGCAAAAGTACTTTTGGGTCCGGTTACTGGCCGCTGTTCGGCAAATGAGCCCGCGCTCCTAAACGTCACACAAGACCCTGTCTATTTGTTTTGTTTAATTATTTCTCATTTAGCTTTAAATTGGGTAGTCTTTACCACTGTCTGACAAATTTAATTATTTAAATCATTTAAAATCCTAACACCTTAGTGTATATTAAAGCTGCTAATTGTTCCCCGCGGAGCTATAAAAAAAGTTTTTCGTACGCTATACGATGTACTATTAAGTTTCGTCGATACAGTTCCTTAGCTAACCATGTTATCTACTTATTACATTCGAATTTGACTTTGTTATATTATGTAACACTCGTTAGTTCCGTATCTCATTAAAAAATATTCACTGCGATACACAATTTACAACGCTTCTCCAAGCGACTTCAAAGAGGATTGTGTTCGCTGTTTGTTCCTCTACTGAGAGTCTGAGATGATATGATCTGACCAATCGGAGTGAAGATACAATCTTCTCAGTTAATCAAGAGTGAAACCCAAAACAATCGTCAAGTGCCCGACGAGCGTTTCCCGCGCTTACCATCGGCCACCATTTTCCCGCACTTGCCATTGACTGCCGTTTTCCTGCGCTTGTGGCTCGGCTCTGCGCCTTTTCCTGCTGCTCATTCCATAAAACACTGTCTCCACTTTACTGTTACATCTAACTGGTTAATATAACTTACATCAGCACGACTAATTCTCTGAACGGTTCCGTGCTCGTAACGGATGACGTTGACTTAGCAATTTTCTTAAAACTTCAAAAACGACAAAATCTCATAACTAAAACGAACTTGAGAGAACTGCCGCACGAAATGAAGCGTATAAAACAATGCTAGGACAAATGTTACAATCCTCATCAAATAAAAATCTAGAACTAATCTGAACAGTTTAGCCATTAAAGAAATGCTGAACGTCATGTCCAGGCTGTTGTTGCGCTTGCTGTCCTTGGCCCCAGTCTCTTCGCACGTACTGGTCTTCGTGATCCCTTGGCCTAGGATGTCCACGCTGAGAAGTGCTGCTGGCCCCAGACCCTTGCACACCATACTGCACTAGTTCATGCCCCCCTGAGAAAAGACACAGGTTTTGTTAGCGCCAAGGTGAACTGAAAATCAAACAAACTTAAGCTTACAGAAGCAAACTTTAAGGCCAAATCCAATATCCTGTTCTTTCCCAAAACTGGAAAACTATATAACCGATGAAAAAAAAGCGTTTTTTACCTTGAGACGAGCTTTGCCCAACTCCAGGAAGAGGGCTGGCTGCAGCTCGGTCAGCCAAGGCATCCAATGGATCCTACAAGCAAAAAACGTTAAAAAAGTGAGAAATAGTATACAATAACATTGCGCGAAAATTTTACTGGCCCTGTTTTAACCGACTTGGCGAACATCAACATGAATAAAAGCTGATGTTTTCAATTTTTTTCGTCGCCTAGTCACGAAGAGGGAGCCATTTAGTAGTCCCCTAGTCACCCCCACCTCACCCCCTTAAGGATTAGAGCCCATGCCCTTCGGATCTCGTGGCTCGTAGCTCTTGCACTGAGCTTCAGAAAACTTTTTGACTCTTAACTACAATATCGATAGACTTTCAGTACCTGCCCTGGTGCTCCTGGCGCTCCATCGTGGCCAAATACATCATAAAACAAGCTATTATCCAAGATCATGGGGTGATTAGAGAGCTGGTACTGAATGTTTTCAAGCATCTGTGAATTGTAATCCACTTGTTCACCTATAAAATTTCTGCAAACAAAGACATAGCATTTGGTTGACAGAAAGCAAATTTTCTGGATCTAAATTTTAAAGGTATCAGAATGTTGTCCCTGCAAGGGTATACCGTGATGGATGAAGACGGATAAGTAGAATTTTCCACATTGATCAAAGGCTTGTATATGTTGAAAAGTCAACTAAATTTGTTTTTGTTCTCTGTCTACAACGTGACAATAACTAATCCTTGAAGTTCAAAAAATGATCGACAAGCAACTTCACACAATATCAATGTATCATCTATCAACGAAGTCACGAGAAAAGAAAAACTCGTCAGCTAGAGGATGCTATCCTGATAAGACAAAAAATAATCAAACAAGGGCATTGTGATTGGTTATTTTATGACATCTGCCAACATCCCATGCACTCAATTCAAAGTTTGATTGGTTTTTTCCCCTTATAACTGTCCAGCTTTAAGCAATTGCACTTAAAGTGGTTTAACCCTTTAACTCCCAGATCAAATTTGTAATTCTCCTTACTGTCAACCATACAATTCTTACAATGTTAGTTCAGAGAATTTAGTATTGAATCAACTAATTATCCCCAAATTGATATTTTCTTTATTGTCATCACTTTTCTGGTTGATATTGTATTGATATTGTAAGGAGAAATTCTGTATTGGTCACCCATAGGAGTTAAAGGGTTATAACCATTTTACAAGGTTTAATCTAGACCATAAAGGATATGGTATACAGGTGAAGCATGAAATTCATTAAAGGCTGAATGCTTTTCGTATCTACAGTCTATATTTTTTTGCATTAGGTAAAAGTTTCTCTATAATGCATGAATGTAGTCTTTGAACATGATTATACCTCACTGAACTGATTATCTTCCTGAAAAAGCCCCCCACATTATCTCTTCAGAAAAGAGGTCTCCAGCTTGGATTAATCCTCTTATTTTTCTCTTATCCTCAAAGCCACAATTGGTGTCACTTTAAGTAACAGCGTAATTGAGGAGCTGTCTGCCTTAAATGTCACTTATTGTATCATTTATCATCGTTCTTCATTATAGAAATGATAAATAATTACAACAGTTACGGTGACATTACCTTTCTACAATATCATCCTCACAAGGCCATTTTTCTATATTAACTGGGCTAATGCTAATGGGGAAGAAGTTAAACAGCATTGAGTAAATAGATGATAAAATTGCTGAGATGTGGCTGCTAAAATCAGCAATGTATGACAAAATGTTCATAATACAAGAGTGCTATTTTCTCTCCTAACCATTTTTTGGCAGCAACTTAAAAAAAAAAGAAATTAAACAACCTGACATTAACAACTCCACAAAATCTAATCCCCTAATAAAAGATGGGCAATACTGAGATGTTTGATTTTAGATCACATCCCACCTTAAGTCTTGCCCAAAATCTGAAGTCACTAAAATGGATGCAAAGAATTGACCAAAATACAAATATCTGAAAATGGAAGAAGACTCCAATTTTTGATTGAAGGTAAATTATTTGAATTCACCTCTCACATGAGGAGAAAAAAAATCTATTTAATTTTTGGGAGGAGATTTAGTGAACTCGAAAGGAGAGAAGGAGATCTGTTTAACATCTTGGATATTGACATGTAAACTAATAATCAAAGAACCTTTCTCTATCCAAATTAAGATACATGAACATGAAAAGCAACCTTTTGCTACGCTTGGCAAAAACTTCCTGATCTGCCTAGCCATTGATTCAATTATTTATCATTACGGTATTGAAAACACTGTAATAATAAAAATCTTGTCAGTGGATCTGCAAAATTACACAACCTGTCTGGGCCGATATCTTCCTGAGAAATTCTGCGCATCAAAGGATTATTTCTTATATTGTGATGCTCATCGTACGATTGAGGAGGTTCCATGACATGAGTTGGGTGCACAACAGTTGTCTGATTCTGCTCCTCAGGAAAAGTGACCACGCCTGTTGAAAAGCACGGCTGTACCACTGAGGCTTGTGGATACGTTGGTGCTAAAAGGAAAAATGAAACCAATATGACTCATGAACTTTCAAACTACAAACAAAAATTGAATAAAAAAATGCTCTAAACTTAGCCTTATTAACTACATGACAAGTGCGTGAATGGGAGCAATTTCCTGTTAAATCACTAGTAATGATCAATAATCAATCAGACTATGAATAAAATTGTTCATTTAGAATCAAACAATGCTCTAAATTTAGCCTTATTAACTAAATGACAAATACATACACAGGAGTGATTTCCTGATAACTCACTAGTAATGATCAATGAAGGAACATGACAAGTACATAAACAGGAGTGATTTCCTGATAAATCATTAGTAATGATCAATGAAGGACAGTCAATTTCTAACGCTGAAAACTCTAACATTTAGTTTCAAAAGTGCATTATTTGTGAAACCAAAACCAAAGTAAAAACAACACCAAATTAAACAAAGCCAGAGCTTATGCTAAACACAAGTAAACCAAATTGCATGTGACCAAGTTGTTGATGGAATAAGAGCTACATTTGATCAATTGAGAGAGTGGCTTAGTTTTAGACCATAGAGGACATGTAAAGTAGAGTAAACCAATGAAATCATGGATGCATTTTAGAAATGATTGGAAATTGCCTAATTAGGTGCATCAAATTAAGTGTGATTCTGGTCTCCTTCCTAAACTTTTCTCCCAAGCACTACCCTCTTCAAATTTCCCAAAAATTTAACCAAAGAAAACAAACTCCAAAGCAATTTGCTGACTTTGAGGAGGGCTTCTTTGTGTATGTTCTTCACACTAGAGGGATATTTTCTTTTAATTACCTGATGATGACACAGGACTTGACACAATAGGCTGTGAGGATGGTACAGATTCCTCTGGAAATCTGATAACTGGTCTGGCATGTGAAATGTTGTCCTCATCTGGTAAAGCAGTAATCAATGGCCCACTAGTGGCTTGAAAAGGTTGGAAAAAAGACAATGGATTAGAGATGAAAGTAAATAATAACAATGCTGGTTTAAAAAACATTTTTAATATTACCAAAACAAGTTACTGAGCTTGTTTTTTTGTTAAAAACAAAATTTATCAATAGTGAATTTTAAACTTACCAGGAATGCTTGAAGAAGATGTGTTTGAGATATCAGATATTGTGAGTGTCTGTGTGCTTGGCTGAAAGAAAAAAAAACCAAATGATAATAATCAATTTAATAACTTCAAGTCAAGATAACTTTCTGTCACTTTTTTCTTTATGTGATGATCTTAACAAAAGATTCTTAGCCCTTTAACTCCCATGAGTGACCAAGACAGAATTTATCCTTACAATACCAGTACAATATTGACCAGAGAAGTGATGAGAATAAAGAAAAATATTAATTAGGGGATAATTAGTTGATCCAATACCAAATTCTTCAAACTAACATCACAAGAACTACATAGCAAACTGTAAGGAGAATTACTGACGAGATCTTGGGAGTTAAAGGGTTTAGCAGGATTTTCAATCATGGCTAGGTATTCACTTGACCTACTGCTTGTAAATGGCTGACAACCTCTTTAGAGGCTTTAAATGAACTTTATCAGAATAATTACAATATTAAACACCCAAATTTGTTTTAATATTGTAAGGTTATATGAAGTATGATAAATATCAACAGAAACAATGCTAAAAAAACTGATCTGTGAGAATGAAGAATTTCAAACTTTTTGGGCAAAACATCCCACTGGACTCCTTAAGCATTATCAAACCTTCCACATTTAAAATAAATAGCACCTGCCTACTTACCTGAGACCCCTGTAAATTTTTTTGATGATTAAGTAAAAGAATTTGTTCCTGTTACAAGACACTTTTCAAATAAGCTATAGTTCTCAACTGCCCCCTTAAAAATATTATCTTCTGTTACAAATATATATACTACATACTCCTGGACACACAGGAATCCATGGAATCAGAAAGATTGACGAACTGGTACTCTGAAAACTTCAAAAAAGATTGCCCTCTCTTTCAAAAACTCACCCTCTGAGCAGAATAACTTGGTGGTGGCTGGCCACTGCTGGGACCTGATGTGTCTCTGTACTCATATCTCCCTCTCTTTGATGACTGCTCTTCTGTGCTGTCTTGCAACATCAGTCTGCAAGCAGCAGGTGAAAGATTGATGTTATTAAATTGCAAGAACGTCTGCCAAAAAAAATTGCTTTCCCCAAAAGAATTAAAATCTTAAACCTTTCTATTCCTAAGTGTTTAGTTCTACAGCTTATCTATTGTGAAGTTGGGTGTTCACATTATATACTAGCTTCACAAGTAAGAGTGGGTCTCAAAAGTATCTATAATCTGTGACAATACTTGAAAATGACTGACGCAAAGCACAGCTTTCCACTCATAATTCAACTTTAGTGGAAAAAGAGGAAATGCAAATTAACTGAAACAGCAAAGGAGCTGAAAAAATTACTTGCCTTTTGCGGTTTGTCAGCTTGTCATTTTGATACATTAGTCGCATCAGATACTGGAACAACTGCAATATAAATTCCTAGATATCAAACATCACAATGGCTTATAAACAGAAGAGGTAATAAACTAAAATAAACTGTTAAAATTTTAATAAATTGAAAACTTCAATTTCCACATCACTTTCCTTCAAAGGCCAGGGCACATACTCATTGTCCTTACAGACAAAGTGTTTGGTAACATGATCAACATGAAGGACTTGATGTCTCTAACTCCCTCCTTTAAACAATTCTTGGTTAATTTTTCAGTTTCTCTCCTCACCTTGTTTACAATCTGTTGTTGCCTTTGATGTTTTTGTCGCAAGTCTACCAGCTCATTCCACAACGTGACATTTTCTCTATATACAGGAGAAAGAAACATTTGTATCATCGCTTTTATTACCTCTACCATGGTACTTGTTAGTCACACAACTTAGAGAAGATAGATTCCTTATCTCTAAAGCAGCCACACTTGTAATCATTTTGATAGGCACCTTGGTGTAAAAAGTTAACAGCAGTAACATATTCCAGAGAATTATTAGTACTGTGTTGATAATCAACTCCTGTTGCCACAAGAAAAAGGTTGATTTGATAGTCACCTCTTGATCTGATCAAGTTTCATTGTCATTTCATCTTGTCTTCCTTTCATGTCTTGAACATCATTTAGCACTTTAGACACATCCTCAGTCCTCATTTTCTTTTCCTCAGGTGTTGCCTACAGAATAAAAAGACCAAACTTACCAGGTAGTTATCTTCTAACAGGGCTTCTAACTGGGTGAGGGTAACATGGAGAAATTATCTTTGTAGGTATTGACATTTATTATTATTTAGTAGGGAGATGTTGAGAACTAATTTCACAAGAATTTTACATTGATCCCAATTGCAAAAGAAGGAAAAAGAAAAATTTAACAGGGCAAGAAAATGTGCCTAATACTGGCATCAATGTGACTAAATTTTTCACTTTGGCGACCAAATCCTGAAAATTAGTTGCCAAATTGGCGACTAGAATGCTTCATCATAACCTTACCTAGAGATATAGTGAATTAAAAAGATTTGCAAAGATAAATCCGTGGCAAACTTCCCTGTTAAGTTTGTTTCCAAACCGCAGCACATACATCTCAATCGATAACTAGACGACATCTTGGATTTAGGTGAGCTTGGATGTTACATATCATCCATCCTAGTGTCCACTTTGTAGCATGTTAAAGATCTTTTCCCTAACTTAATTTCTAGAACGATGACAGTGTTAAAAAAAAGAAAAAAAAAGGTTTTGTTTGTCTTTGAAAATGGCACCCAACTTTTTTTTGAATTGGCTACCACTTTGAAGAATTTAGAAGCCAAGTGGCTATCAGAAAAAAAAATTACTTTCACGCCCTGTTTAAGGGGATATTTCTTTAACTTTGCCTCACTATAATTCCTTATAATAAAGAAGCCATGTTTTCCCTCGTCATTTCACTACAATTTACAAAAAGAAAAACTACATTTTGAGATTTAATCCAAAATAAAACCTGTCTGTTTGCTCCAGACTGAAAGCAAGTTCAAAAAATATTCAACCAATCTAAGATCTAGAGACCTATTTTGGAAAAGTCACATCCACTGACCAGGAAATAGTAAATGTGTTTAGGACCCTCAAAAAAAGAATCATTTTAGATTTTCTTAAATGCTTGCAACTCGATTAAATGTTGTGACTGGCTCTATCATTTAATCAAACCCTTAGGCAACAAGTCAGTTTAGAATCCTCCACAAATATCAGTCAAGTACCTTGAATGTGCTCTCTAGGGTTTATGCAAATTGAGTTTTAAAAAAATACCACTGAGAAAACAAACCACTTCTTCAAGTTTGTACAAACCTTTCTTTTGACATTTTCAAGTAATTCAGGATGATATTTGTTGAAATTTCCATTGAAAAATTCCCATTCATCTTTCTCAGATCGCAGACCCCCTTGTTCAGCTCCAATAACTTTACGGAATCCATCTAAACAAAAAAGTAAAACAAAAATAACTATTAATCATATAGTAAGGTGTGGCTATTTTCAATACGCAATGTACCATGTACTGCAGCCATGTCAATGTCACGCAAACTCCATTAAGTTTATCTACTTGAAGTAAATAATCCACCTTGCTTTCAAATAATGATTTGGCTGAATATGCACTTGGCAACTATCAATCTAGTTTGACCTCTTATACTTGAGTAAAATCTGATTTCCTCATAAAAGCAAGGATGGGTGACGAACTGGAACACTTATAATGAGTGTCAAAATTTGTTCCGATTGACTTTACAACAGCCTTGTACCCCATGGGTAGTTTCATTCTTGCTAAGAATAACAATCAACTATATGCCCTTAGAGGGGACAGGAGGTGGGCTCTGTGCATGTGCTGATTTAAGTATTAAGAATTCAGATCATTATAAATTACTAAAGACAGTCATGCGAAAATGTTTGCAGTCTGGTAACTGCAAAAAATTTTTTACAGCATAGTATACATATACATTTAGGTTTCACTCCCAGTTATAAAATGCAACACATTGTAAGTACAATCATGGAGAAAATGAATGGATTTTGGACCAAAGAAATTTCTTTGGTTCTGCTTTTGTTCGAAGAAAAGAAAAGAAAAAACGTTCTTATATGCAGACTGAACAGAAAAAAACATATCACATATTCTTTGGAAAAAATCTTTGCATCCACAAATAGCTATCTGAAACGATTTTGAAAAAAAGCTGTTTTGATGGATCTATATTGTATATCAATTTAACTTAGGGTAAACATTGTACATTCACATGATCAAATCGACGTCCTCTACCATACAAATATTACGCATTGTTGTTCCCTGTAAACATTCTACTTTTGCAGCTGTGATTTACATAAGCAAAAACGGAAATATTTTAGAAAGTACAAACATGTAGGCACAGTAATCTACCAAACTCTGTTAGAAGCTATCAATCAAATAAACCGGAAAGCTTAACTTCGTGAAGCTAAGCATAACTCTGCGTCTTCGCCCACGCCATAATAAAAACGGGGAAAATGATAGGAGTAAAAATTTACACATTACACACATTCTTTTGAATACAGGTAATAACTCATATTCTATTCCAAGGAAATCTAAAAGCTCGCTACATGTTTTTAACAAGATTCTTGATAGGAATTAACGTAGTAACTCTAAATAGATTGCAAGGTAAGGGCGCCGAAACTGTCAAACACTGAATACCGAAACTTCCAAGACAGGAAAATCGTCAAAACCCGTTGAATTATTTTTAACAGATAGTACTTACACATATTCAGCTGGCGGACGAAGCTTGCAAAGTTGTTGTGTTTAAAATACTTAGGAAGTATCTCGCGTGCAAACGTGGCTTGATCGTGCACCAGAAATCCGCTCCCATTCTACAGGGAAAAAAAAGTCGAAAGGTCGAAATCGTCCTTTCGAGCTTCAATTATTGAAGAAAAAGGATTTAATGTACTCATTTCAAAAACATCGGGTAGATATCTGTAGTAAATAAGCCAAGTAATTTGTCGCGAAGCAAATGTAGTAAAGGAAAGATTATTCACCTTGTTCCACGAAATGTGCTCCTCATATTGTGGATCTTCAACCAACTTCCACAATTTCACCAAAAAAGCCGGGACATTAGATGGAATACCACTCGAATCTCCGTCTCCAGTCTTCATCGGCATTTCTTTTCAAAAATCACACCAGACAATAAAGCTTTCTCGCAGGTATACGTGCTGAAAAACAAGCGTAACTTATCAGGCAGTTTGCTGATCAGCCATATTCGTCAATCCCCCGCGCGCAGGCTTTATATCCCCTGAGACGTCCTACAACGCCGGGGTCTGGGACGGATCGCAGAGAGCATCTTTGACCTCGGGGAAGTAAACAATTTTTTCACGACTTCGTGGTGCACGTGAATCGTTAATTGATGTTCTATATTTAGTAATTCAAATCTACTTGTCTAAATCGGCCAAGAGGTGTTTTTAAAACTACAGTGCTTGAGTCGTCAGGTGGTGACCTAGGCGGGTGCCTTGGTTGACGTCACTGGGGCTGGTTGCCATGATAACGGAGGGGCAAATAATCAAAAGGTCTGGTTCGAGAACGTTCTACACGGTCCTCGGCCCACGTTTCTCCGTCACTGAGGGTTCCAGAGAATGTATCTGAATCTACATATTTAGCATAAATTTGCAAAGAATTTGCTGGCGTTTAAAAGATTCAAAGTCATAGAAATATCTTGATTTTCCAGAAGCTTGAGGGAAAAAATGTTATTCCAGAAGGTGCAAGAACAAAAATGTCCCTTCCTCGCTGCTACCGTTTTTCTCTGGTCTGAGTCGTGCACAATTCTTCTTTTCAATTCTGTCACCAGAGAAATTCCTTGTGATCATGTCAATGTATTGAATATTGTCACTTAAGTGGAAGGAAGCTTAGCAAATAAATTAAAATAATCCTCGCTCTTGTTAAAAGTTACTAGCGTTCGCATTCTCAACGAATAAAAAGAAAAAACCCAATAAATCGGGTATAACTCCGGTAAGTTTATTCTGGAAAATGTTTTCTTCTACGATAAAAATCAAGCATCAATATAGAAAGGGGTTTTATCACGGTATTATGTAAATTTTCACTATTCTTTCCGGAAGTGAAATAAACACGGCGATATAATGGCTTACTTAGTGAGTCACGCAAGCCGAAAGTTCCAGAACATTCACTGCCCATCGTAACGCGTGTTGTTCTTATCAGAACGTTCTAGAACGTATTCTGTCGGTCGAATTCTTCCGAAAAATACGTCATGCAGCTGACGAGGAACAGCGTGAAAGGGTTAATTGGTAAGCAGTGTTATTGTTGAAAGAAAAACATCTCTTACAATGGAAAAATACTTACAAAGTGTTTCGACTCAAACGATATGAATTTGTACTGAAAGTAAAGTGATTTTCAACACAATAAAAAAAAGTATTTCGTCATATTTGTCGATGTGTATGTGTTAATACTCTCTGGAAATTAAAAAAAGCGAAATGGGAAATCGTTGATAGAATACTGAGAGTAGAAAACTGACAGTTTGTAACGGATTCTGTTTGCGTAGAAACGCCTCTCTACCAGGGAAGTCAGGCGATTTGACTTGCTCGATCGAGGAAAACAAAAGTTAGGCAGATATAGCCGAAATCTAGACTTTTACTGCAACATTTTGTTGAAAAACTTCAATTTAAAGCGTTTTCCTTCTTAAATCAAATTGCTACAAGTGAAAAATTCATGAATGACAACTACGTTGCGCTCGAATGCATGTCTAGGTAAACATCTTTCACGCAAAATTTCCAGACCTTTTTGTTGTAAAACCTGTTATTTTATTAGTCATAGTATAATTTTAAGAGGCTTTAAAAATAACTCAGTGCGATAGGGTTAAAAATTATTTTAGTGAAACTGTACCTGTTGCGAGAAGTTTCTGTGCTAACCTATGTTTAGGGAAGGCACGTATGTTTGGATACAAATACGTCACAATGTCACTATCCTGATATTTTTAAAACTCTTCGAGATTTTGCGAACTATTTCTGATTTTGCATAGTATTAGTAGGAACTCCGAGCCGGCGTTCGGCAGAATGTACACGCGGAGAGACTGATTTGCAAGAATTTGCAATGCGCGAGTCGCCCGGAGAACGTGAGAGGTAGGAATCTCAAAGGCCATACGGTATGTGGACCTACGTCTACATGATCTTGAAATCGAACCCTGGGATAAGGGGAATTTTTTGACTCATATTAGCACGATTTGTCATCAGAGGTGTGGTATCACGTAGACGATGTTATTTTAAGGAGGGAGATGTATGAAAACGTGGTTTATTAGCGACTTCAAAACAAACTTCTCCAGTGATATTTGCATCAGTAACGCTGATCTGCAACAAGCAAACATGACTACCCATGGGTTACAGGAAGGAGGGGGAAATAGTTTTTCAGGTATCGGTTAAAACTTTGTTAACAATTAGATTTACTTAAAAATTGATCGAAATCGTTTTTGACGAGGTCAAAATTCAAATCTTTATAGATTAGCAAAATAATAATTAGACGCTGTGTGTAAATTGCAGTACTACTGTTGGTCAGCTAAACCATTTTAATCTACTGTATCATGACTGGATGGTTATGTTCTCTTTGGAAAAATAAAAATTATTCTTGCTGAATTGAAATTACGAAAGTCTTTTCAGCGAGGAGCGTAAAATCAGTCATTTTTCTCACCATTATTCCACGGGACTACAGGAAAGCCTTGAATTGTGGGGTCACTTACACAGGAACATTAGCCCAAGTTAACAAGAAAATGATTTTAACATCTGTCGAAGTTTAGCTCTCTGGTGACACAGGTCTCTTACTGGCTTCAACTCCACAAGAACTGAAGGAAGGGTGAAATCAATGCTTCTGGTAAACTCCTTTCAGGAACTTGAGGTGAGATTTTTTATTCGAGAGAGTTTGACGGCTCTTACGGAACGAACGTACAAAATACTTGTATAAATTTGATAGAATCTTGACTTCAGAAAGTTTGACACCAAACCACAGCCTCTAAGCTAACTTGAAATGAGGAATACATACCTGTTTCATTGTAAAGTGAGAACTACCCGGCAAAATTTTGTTTTAAAATTCGTGTATTTTAACTATGTGGTCTTAACAGTGAACAGCCTGCACCCCTCTGGTTGTTTCGTTAGAGTCGACCAGATCGTTGTTCATATTTAAAAGGGTTATCCTGGTTTTAAAATACTGGATAAGTTTGATTTTGAGGAGCGATAATTTGCTCTGAATAATTCATGCATGCACAAAGAGTAAGGTGCATCAAAGGATCTTTCATTTACCTTTCTCCTTAAGCTAAAAATTAAGCTTCGACTTCAAGTTTTTTTTTCAATTAAGACTGTCGAGTAAAAAAAATGACGGTTGTGTGAGTTAATTTTTTTTAATCCGCTTTGGAATACTTTTTATTATGGGTTTCTTCGTAGCTCAAATCTAAGGTGTGTCGCGAACTATATTTAGATAGGTTTGAGTGTTTATGAAGCTCTTGCTAGATATAATTTTACGTTTATCAGATTTTGAATTGTCGTAGTTGCCGCACAATGTAATTGCGCGACAGATTCTGGAAAAAATTTCTCTTTTTCTCATATATGTCTTTGTTTGCTTGTGCGAGAGTCACCGTTATCGTCTCAGTGAGCAAGTTGTGCTCTCTTCGATGAGATCTTCAAACTGTCTATGCTGTTAGCGAGTGAGCACATACGTTTGCCGGCAAAAATTACTGTAAGTCCGATTGAGATCCGAAAGTGCAACAGCTGCTTTTAATTTTGTGAAAGAATGTCCTAAACTGAACGATTTTAAATGAGACATTAGGAAATCTCTTTAGCAAGATCGGAATTACACTGAACACGTTGCACGAAGCGAGCAAAATAAAGTCAACTGTATTCTGCAAGTTTAGCAGAACGTTTTCAAATTTTCTTTGTCGATTTTGCTTTGATGGAGCATTCGATTGTTGTATCCGGAGTTTTTTTGTTACCTATGTGGCTGTGTGTGCATAAGTGTCTCATTTATTCAGATAACTGATCAGCCTTGAACTGTCTCTCTCCTAGTAATGACCACTCAAGCACTTGAAAGCGTTCGCTACGAGCTGCCTCAAAGCATGCACGATGAGATGTTGGTAACAGATCAGTCTTAAGAGGGACCGGGCTACGAATGGTCAAAATTCAGCGAGGCCTTATGCACTGGGAAGAACGACAGGTTTGTGAGACTGCGGTATGTTTGGATGCTTTACACGATTTTGCTCTGGTATATGAGTTCCGTGCGGCTAGTATATGTAGGCAATTCTTTCTCCTGTCGATCGGAATTTTTAGTATACTTTTCTAACCGGAAAATTTTCTGCGTTAACGCTCCCAAGTCGCATAAATGATACTTACCCAGCGAGTAAAGTGACTTCTGTCCCCTCGACCGTACTAGAACAATCTTTGTCTTGTTCAGCCTACACGTTGACTGCGGCAGCCGGCCATACACGCTGTAACAACAATATGACGCAGACGCAGTAATGCTCCCGGGGCTAATTGGTGCTATTCATTTGTAAAATGAAGGGGTTTTTTAATCCACCTTATCAAACATTTGATATCACGTAGGGTATTTTCAAGGTGATGAATAAATTGCTTGCAATGAAAAAATAAAATTGTAGGTAAATAGTAAAGTTAGCTTTTACAGCTTTGGTAAAACATTAAAACTTGAGGTCTCTACGCTAATACAAACAGAACACGAGGGACACTTCAAAATTCGTCGAGTTAAATAAGAAGACTGATTTTAAAGAACAACACCATACAATAATTAGCGTGAGTCCTGATAACTGCATAAAAGATTCACGGTCTAGTTTGCATCATTTTTCCGTGAGTTACTAAACTATTTCCTTTTGTGATAATTGCAAACAATCAGGATTTCTGAAGCTGCCGCCTAAAAATTCAAACTGAACCTTCAGACAAACCTGCTTTTACGATGTACTCACTATTTAACAAAAAGCTCATTTCCCAAATCTATTTTATATAAATCTATGTGGACCACTCATGCAGTTCAAGGGAAGATTTTTTGGGATCTTAAACTCAAGGAAAACGGGTTTTACGCAGCAGAATTGTGGAATGAAGCAAATGACCTTGGCGAGGTTATAAATATCGTAAGATTGACTGATTGATTGTTTGATTGTCGATAAAACGGATCAGTTCCGGGTAAAAAAGGCAATAAATATATTTGAAAATTAACTTTGGATGAGCTGAGTAAACGTCTTTGAAACTCACTTCTAAGAGCACTATTTTCAAACAATTCGGCTCAGAATCCATCACGGGTGTATAAATTTCATTATAACACTAAAACAGTAGAAAAGCAATGCCACGCGAAGATACCAGTTGAATTCTTAACAGCTTTTGCTGAAATATTTTCCATAATAGTTTTTCGTACAGCATTTGGGAAGTTACTGTAGCTCAAACAAGAGAGAACGAAGAAAGAACTCGAAATCTTCCGAAGAACATTTTACGAAGGCCTCAACCTGCCCTCTTGTGATGAGTCACAACACAAATACAAACTTCCAAAGTCGCTATGAAGAAGTTAGTAGTGAGAAATTTTATCAAAGTTTTTACACAGGAGTTTCAATAAAAGCCAGGTAAGGCGGTCTACCACCGCCTGTAAGACCTATTACCGCCATCTGTTTACTACTCGGTATGCGAGAAGGCTCCGGTGTTTGCATTTCGCCTTAAGGCCCCTTTCTGGGCACAGCTCCCCCGCTACACTATCGGCAACCGCTAACAGAAAAAGTTATTGAAACCCCTGTTTTACTATAAAACAGTCAGTGGAAAGAAGGTTAGATTCTCAGAAAAAAAAAAATGCCCTGTAAATATAGCTGCTGAAGAATATTTTTCACATACGTCAAATTATTCATCAACTCAAATAATTTGAGTATAGCTTAGGTTATCACAATTTTTTGACGGTACATGCACGCTGCTTGATTGTTAGAGATAAAGGAACCTTAGCCAAGGTATGAAGCTTAGAGATGAGTAGATAAAACAATGATGATGATAGAGAAACGTCATACAATATATGTGAAGGACTCACGGGTGATATCGTGCTTCTGCAGAGAAAGACTTGTTATAAGACATGTTTCATATCTGTTTTCTTTTTTCGATTTCATTCCGCTTTAGCATGAAAACTGACATCTAGAAGAAACTTGGTTGTAGAACATACCTGAGAATGATAATCTTTGTCACTGTTTGTTAATTGAAGTTTCATGTGAAATAAGCTGGTGATGAGTTCCTGGAAGAGGGAGTCTTGAGGAGGTGAGAAAATCTTTATTCTAGTTGGCTTTTAAATCGTTACTTAACACTCAGATGAAAATCATTTCTTAAGATTGTGTTATATTGTTTGCATTGCACCAGTTTTAGTGCATGCTTACTTTTTCAGCAACTTCTTTAAGTTTGTATTCCATCCATTGCTGTGTAACACATCAGTTTTGTCATACAACTTAGCACAAGAAGCTTTACATCATTATTCAGGGTAGGCGACTGAGTAAAAAATGGATTTAAATTTGTTCTGTGGAAAAAAAAAACTGAAATTCTTTTACTTTTAGTGCAATGAAGTTTATAAATAATTTCACTGCAACTGCAAATCAGTTCTTGGCTGTTGCTCTCTTGAAAAAGTTAGTGATAAAATGAAAGCAACAACTGGGGAATCTCTGGTCAACTTGTCATGATAATTTCCTTAAAAAAACACCCTACTATGCCAGTGGTGCAAATCTTCCTTTTTCCTGCTAACACTGACTTGAAATTCTAATTTCTTCTTACGATGATCCAGGAGTGCAGACAGGACTTTTCAAAGGGGAGGGGGGTCCACACTGTGTCAAACAGAGGGTAATTATCTGTTTTCGCCATCTGAATAATACTGTTTGCTCAAACAAGGCTCACAAAGGAGGGGGGGGGGGGGTCACGGGCACCTCCCCTGCTACGCCCTTGAGGTCTGATACGTAATTCTCCTTTTGAGCTGTTATGTATTGCAGTGTGAATCAGTTAAAAGAGTTAGAATTATATCTAGTAAACAGCTTTTTAATGAAAAGTTGTCTATTCTCATCACTTTCTTAGAAGATATTGTATTGAAATTACGAGGAGAAGCTACATCTCAATCACGTAAGGGGTTCAATGTTTAACGAAAGCCTATCTCCCCCCCAGGTCTCACCCATTCAGTTTTGAGTTCTGTTCGTCTCATCAGATATGGTAAGATCTACTGCTGAGTTAAAACAAAACATGAAGGAAGGAGTTAACAGCTACTTTAAGTGCTCCACTAACACTGAAATATAAGGTGGCTCTTAGCTCGCATCTGTTTAATTTGTTGATTAGTGATTATAGAGCGTTTCTCTTACGTCAACACTGATCAAGAATTATATTAATAGTTTAACTTACTCGGTTAAGCGTGACCGCTAAAGGCTATACCCAAGTCATAAACTCTACAAAGTTAAAGAAGAAAAATTCCTTGGTTGTGGAGAGGAAACTAAGTACTAGCGTTTTTTCACTCGAGGTTAGACTGAGCACCAATGTTATTTTTGCCGCGAAAATTTCCATTGGGAAAACAAAATGGAGAATGAAACGCAACGATCTTTGTCTAAGAGACTCGGAATAACAACTTTAGATGTCTTGAAGAAAGCAGCTGAGCTGGAGCGATTGATGAATGTTCGTGGTTGCTCTATGAATTTAACAAGTGTTTCTAAATCTGTAATCTGTCTCGAGATTGCAGCGAATAATTCACAAGTTCCGATGAATAGGGTACTGTAGACATTACATTTTTTCTTATTCATCTGCCACGAAAAACACATGACAGTCACTTGCAACGAAGTACAACTCATTTTTTTTCCCTTCTATCAGTTTGTGTACGGCTGTATTGATACGTAGTTTATCTCATTGTCTTGTCTCATAATTTTTGTGGAAAGCCTCTTCCATAAATTTTTGTCGATCTACAAAACTGTTAATTATACAACATAAAACTTTAAACTGGTCAAAGATGATGTTTGACTGTGTTCAAATCCGATTCTCCTGTCCGGCTGAGGGGGGTTAGCTGGGGAAAAAAGAGATGAGTTGTTTGTACTGTTTGTGGTAAGACCTGATAAGGGAATGTAAAGGACGTGTACTCTGAGAGGGCGATACAGAAAAATGTGACTGTTTACTCTCAATGTATTTTGGAAACGTATACCTGCTATTAACTGATACACATCTGAGTAAGATTTCTGCATAGCACCATACTATTCTATAACAAAGCCGTAGTCCCAAAGGTAATCTGTTGTCTTTGCCATCATGCAAAATATTACACTCCTCTCTAACAAGGGCCTAGAATTTAGGCAGACTTTGAACTTGGAATGATAAATGCAATATCTACAACAGATGTTGGGTTATCATGTCAACTTCACATGCAGTTGTATATCAATTAAATGCTCTCATGACCAATCAGATTTTTCATGGTAAATCATATGTACCATAATTCAGCTTGTCATAGCCATTATTACAGGTAGTATGTGTGCTATGATTGGATATTTAAGCAAGCTGTATTTCACTGCACTTCCCTCCTAATTCAAAGGTCTGGTTGCATTGATACAACTGTATCTTCCCCCTTTATTAGAACCTAGAAATATGATAAATATCTAACTAGCTTCATTTTTCCAGTCCATATTGTATGTAATGGAACCTTGTTTTTCTTCTATGATCTGAGGCCTGTATGCTTTTCTCTTGGGTTGTATATGTATATTCCAGTGGAAAAACTTAGTTCATAACAAACAGTATGGACCTTGAACCAATGTTTAGTGACAGGTATGTAGGTAGATAATGTGAAAATCTCAACAATTTTTCAGTATCAGCTAAGTGCACTGTCTCACCCTTTTTATTTTTGTTATAGAATGTTGCAATTCAGCTTTCTGGAATGACTAAGAAAGCTTATATCCATGCCTTTAAAACAATTGAGTGTCTGTTGGGAAAACAAAAGGAGTTTACTATTAAAGATCTAGCTGTACAATTTGGTTGTATGGAGGCTTCAGACCTGGCACAGCAAATACACCAAAGGTGCATTATAATACCTAGCCCTTTACATCCCATCATCAGTTTGTATACTCCCCATACTGTTTTTTCTACATTTCTTATGGTACTTTCAAGTATTATTTCTCTTACAATCGAGAGCCTCTTGAATCTATAATCATTTCTGTTATTCTCATGACCTGAATGTTATTTTCCCCTATTTTACCCTTGATATTGCAAATTGACACCTGTGAGAGGAAAATGTCTGTCTTTTGGGGACAAGGTTGTAAAAGGTTCAGATCTCTTTAGTGAGGTCATAATGTTTTATACAAAATGTTAAGTTAAGGTTATATTTTATTATAAATTCTTCTTTTCTTTGGAGACAAGAAATTGGATTCTATCACTAATCTGATGTCACCTCCTTGTCACCCTCAAAATTTTGCTGGCCTCTTGAAGTTTAAAACGACATAAATCCTGTATTGTTAGCATTCAAGTTTACCTAAGAAATATTGATTTGCTCATTAACCCCTTTAACCCCCATGGGCAGAATTTCTCCTTACAATATCAATACAATATTAAGCAGACAAGTGTTGAGAATAGAGAAAAATATAAATAAGGGTATTATTAGTTGATCTTATACCTAATTCTTAGGACCAATGTCATAAGAATTGTATTGCAGACAGTAAGGAGAATTACTAAATGAATGAAATCTTGGAAATTTAAGGATAAAAAAGGGTAGGAAGGTAATGGAAACTAAAGAGAGACAGAGAGAGAGAGAGAGAAGTGAAGTGAGGGGATGGGTAGTTGGGATACAGTTTAGGGGGGAGGGGAAGGGAAATGATGGATAGGGGATAACGAAAAAGAACAGAATAAGGAAAAGGGAGCTTTGGGTGAAAAGGTGAGAGTGCTGTCCTGTGAAACAAATACAGGGTTCCCAGCTTTTTGATTGTTGATTGATTGTTATGGGTTACATGAATTCTCTCATATACTTTCTTTACCTAACTGTACAATTTTTTCATGATTCTTTCATAATATCTGGAGTAGTTCATTGTCAGCTCAGTTTATTTTGTAACGTTTCTTTGCTACCCTTGTGTTCCATTACCTCCCAAGCTTCTATTGTAATTGCAATTATTGTTTTTGTATATAAAAGGCCAAGGTGGAATTGAACCTGCAATTCTCTTATACATAGTCTTACATTATCTTAGGTATAAACAGGAGTTTGTAAAAGAAGTAGAAGATATGAGTCACCCAATATTTAATGCAACTGCACTTTATACAGCTTGCAGGTATGTTTTGAAAAAGTTTGTTGTTGTTGTTTTTTTTTTTTTGTCAACTAAATATGTAATTCAAATCATAACTCTAATGACTCTTGCCTTATATTTTTTTAAGGTATAAGAAAATCAAAATAGACAAGACAAAGTTATTGAGTGTTCTGGGGACCTGCAAAAGGTCAACATTTGACAGTTTGTTCAAGAAGATGGAGAAAATACCAGACATGCTTGAAGCCAGTGAGTAGCAGTACAGTTTATAATCAAGAGACAGTAGAGTGACATGCACATAAGTGAGTAGACTTAAATTCTCACTCACACATGCTGGTCTAAATCACCCATGCACAAATAAATTGAGAGCCTGCTTAACTGAGACTGGTAATTGAAGAATTTGCTAACAAGTGAAGGTAATTCTTTAACTTCCATGAGTGATCAAGACAGAATTTTTTCCCACAAAATCAATACATGGTCAAGTGGAAAAGTGATGAAAATAAAGAAAAACATCAATAAGGAGATGGTTAGTTGTCAACACTATATTCTCCAAACTAATAAATTCTCCAAACAAATAAATTTGTCAACTTTCTTCATTTGACAACCATTTTTCTTACTCTCCACATTTGGAGTTCTTTACTCATTACATCCTAACATATAGTATGCTTATTCTTCACACTGTACTGAAAACATTTCTAAGGGTGCAAACAAAGAGAATCTGTTTAATAATCAAGAGCTTTTTGTTGTTGATGATCATTTCTCATGACAATAATGTGTGATTCAGGGGTGAAATTGTACAGAGTGATTAGATGCTCATCTGAGTCTCAGTGGGCAAAGGGTTGATTTGCCTATCCTGTTGTTATCTAATCTAGGAGAGGGGTGCAACTGATTCCTCTACTTGATTTTTACACCAAGAAGGGTTTAATTTTGTTTTTCTGAAGTGCCTGCCACATCTTTCCCACTATCCACCTCCCCCTCCACCCCATTGTAGCTTCCCCCCCTCACCTCAAAGGTTGGATCCATTACTTGGAAAGTTATTTCTTTTAACTTCTAGTCCATGGCTCAAAACATTGTTTTTGAAGCTGCAGATCTGTACTAAAGTGGCTTGGTTTTGTAAAGGTGTAGACCACTTATAGTACATAATTTCTTAGTAGCACACGGACCTTCTGTCTTTCCAGGTTCTTTCACCTTCCACCCCAGTAGGGAACCAGCTTCTTATTTCTCACATAAGTACCACTGCTGAACCAAACTTTAGGCTTGTGACAGTTAAAGAAATAATAAAATACTGAAAAAGCTCTTGTTCTTAGCTAAACTATCATAGTCAGTGCCATAGGAAATGTATAGAGAATTTTCATGCTGGTGTTGCAGTGTGTAGGGTGAAAGATCTTGGCATAGTTGTAAAGTCCTTTGAAGATCATCAAAGATTAATGCAAGATAGCCTTTGCAGTTTTTGATGAGAGTATTAAAAAATAATTACAGATCTACTTTTGTTTAAAATGATGGCTTCCTCTAAGAAGAAATATGAAAATCTGTCTTCTGGTTCCTACTATGTTGTCCTACGGAGATTATCGCTCACTTCCTTAGAAATTATTTATCTAATGGGCAAATCATTTTTAAGATTTGTAAGAAATTGCAAAACAGATATAGAATTTTGTAAGGGACTTTGCAAACAATAGGGGTGTACAACCTGTGACCCTGTAAGTGAATAAAAAAGGGAATAGACTGAAATTTTTTGTATTTATCTCTCATAATTTTTTGCTCTTGATCTAGCTGAGAGTAAGAGGAAGACTTCCAAAAGAGGGTATGGACTTCTGGACAGAGTGACTGAAGTAGTTGAAGGTTAGTGTAATCTCTTAGTTCATGATCATAATCCAAAGATTCAAATGTGTGATATGTATACATCTGGAATTATCATTTATGTCCTTATAAAGCTTCAAAACACCAAAAGAAAAACACAGGTTAAAAAGAGATGTTGTATATATGGTTTTACTGCTTAGTATTTCTTTACTCTTATAAAAATTTATAATAAACTAGTGAATTAAAAAAGTAAAAGATGATGAAGTAGATATGGAGTGGGGCTAAAGCAGAGTGGAGAGCAAATTATGCACGTAAAATTGCAGTGAAAAATAAATAATACAATAGTTTATTTGAGTACTACTAATTTGCGAATCGAGCACAAATATCCTGCGATATTTACACGGTTATTCGGATTGTTTGTTATTTTGTTCTGTAAAAGACCTGTTTGACAGGTTGGCAACGCCTGCGTGAGTTGTTTCAAAGGAGAAAAAAAAGAAATCCCTATAAAACAAGGCAGTTAAATAGTAAATAACTTTTGAGACACTTTTGGTGCGTGGCATTGCTGAGTATTATTACTAATTATTACTCTTTGTTTGTGTTCTGACTCGCCCTGCGGGCGGGTCAAAATACTGCACAGCTCGTAAAAATACTCGGCGATACTGTACCAAACTGGGGTCTAATAACATTAGTGTATTTTGTTTCGTCCATATGGGACGTTCTTTTCCGTAGATCAATGTCGCTCATCCAAAATATCAAAGGAGGACGATGGAGATACTGACTCTGATGATAAAGAGTATGAAGAGTGGAAAAGACGAATACTTGAATCTGCAGCCAAGGCCATGCAGTCCCGAGACAAGAAAAATACAGACAAGGATAATTCTTAGTCAGGAGCCCATTCAGTAATGGGCTTCCTGCTCTTAGTGTTGTGTATTTTGCTGACCGTGATGTCCTAACAGAATGTATAAAGTATAATAGCATTATGTGATCATTAAAATTTATCGATTATCAGCGAAAGAATCCTTAAGAGTTAAAAAACATGCCTCCTGTGTTTCTCGGCCGATGTACAATCATTCGTATCCACGTGCCTTTTTACGTATTGATTCGGGTAAATTCTATGCTGTACAATTTTCAAATGACTGTCTTTGTTAGCTTAAACTTTTTTGCTGGTCGTGAGAAATTGATCGGTGGGCTAGAATAGTTTTCAGTCCACAGACGTCCTTAGATAACACAGTTAACAGGTTTGAGTAAGAAAAAAGTTAGTCCGAGTTGTTTTCATGCATTCTTTGTTACAAATACAAATTGGATGCAAGTCACTTTGGGGGAATAAAAAGTTAACTTATTCTCGCCTTTTGACCTAAAAAGTTGTCAAAAGCGTTTCACTCTGACTGCCACTGGCAGTCATGACCAAAAGAAAACGAGAAATAGGCTGTTCTAGGCAAAATTGGAGGCTTACGTATTTAACTAATTAGATTTTTCACGAGTGTAAAGTGTGTAGTTGGTTTAGGCAAATTATACGATAATACAATCGATGGTCAGAGTGAAATAGGTGCCTGAAAACACGCGCGAAATAAATCTCTTAGGCCAATTCGAGATTTGGCTTTTTGCTTCCCCGTTAGGGGTTCTTCATTGACTTGTCAAAGGGTAAGCACTTTGTGGATTCCCTTAAGAAAAACTAACCGGAGCCAGGTTTACCAAACCAAACTTCAAATCGCAGTTTATGTAGAACGTCGAAAGTCCGTATAAACAGCATCTGAGTTTTGTCTGCGATTGTTAGCAGACTCGAAAACCCTTGCTTCCAGACAAACCAACAGAAAAGACAACAAAAAGAAAAATACCAAAACAAAACGAACTAAAAACACAAAACAACACAACCAAATCGTGTTCATTAAGGGGATATTATCGTCTGCTAGACTTCGTTCACTTAAAGTAATGAAATTTTAATTGCAGTCTTGGGATAGAGGCCTTACGCTTTATTTGGCTTTCTTTTCGTGTACATTTTAACTGCACTCTAGATCAATTTCTAATTCAATCTTCTCTTCATTTCATGTTTTCCTTGATCCATTCATACAGCTCAGCGATGTTTGTGTATACTCCGTAATACTGGCCACCACAACCCCATCCCCAGCTGGTTGTGCCCACGAGATGCCAGCGGCCGTCTTTCTCGCAGACGAGAGGGCCTGGAATCATAAATTAAAAATGTATCAAACGATTGATAAATGACTGGTAAAATATGTCAGTCATACGATGATGCTTAAAAGAAGTCAAGTCTATCGCAAGTCCTAAATGACCTTCCGCTATCCCGTTCTTTTCTCCTTGAAACAGTCTTTTCGTGTTTCTATGAATTAGATGTCAATGGCAGAATCTTCAAAATAATGTACTAATATGGAGCTAGATAGAGCTAGGTGAAACATATGAACTATCGAGCTTCATTCCGATTTAAGAAAGCAGAATTCTATTGTACCTCCGCTGTCTCCCTGACAGGCGTCAATTCCTCCTCCCAAATTTCCGGCACAGATCATGTTGGAAGTTATGAGCTCTGGTCTGTAGTTTTTCTTACAGTCTGCGTCTCCGACTAAGGGAACCCTCGCCTCTCTAAGAACAGAAGATGTGCCGCCTCGTCGACGGGTGCGACCCCAACCTGTGATGACGCATTCTGTATCTGTGGAAAAACGGGAGAAAAGAGGAGATTTTCGCCGAGTATCACTGAACCATTCACTTAAAGTTAGAGAGAGAGAGAGAGACAGAGAGAGAGAGAGAGAAGTGTGCTCAGTAAACATACGACAATTATAAAACTTTTATACCGTCTTTTATAGGTATGCATAAAATATTTACTGCCTAACGGGTTTTGAAACACCAGAGAGTAACCAAACCGTTTGATGACTGTCTTCAAAAGATCTCAGAATTCATTGGGCGCTGCCATTTTGAAAAACGCCTTAGCAACCTGGCCTCATTGCCTCACATGCCTCAATGACGTAAATCTCGACAGCATCCATAGTCGAAGTTCAAGCACATTTGAAGACGATTTTTGGATGGTTGGGTTGCTCCTTGGAGTCTCAAAACAAGGTCACTGTCACAATTTCCTAACCACTTTTGAGTGGCACAGAAGAGGATTATTTGGTCTCTGGCGCATACACCTCTTGAAGAGGAAGGCGTTGAAGCATTTACTCAAGCGAGGATCTTTAGTTCTGATCTTTCTTCTCTATTTTCATAAGAGTGCGCTCCAGAATCTTTCATCTTGTAGTGAATCTTATATCTTTTACCAAAAGTTTTGAGGGACCGGAAATACGTGAAATGGGTAGAGTATGCAATTTAGTCCACAAAGGTTTCGCTAAAAAGAACGCCGACACCCTTTTCTTTTCAAATTCCGATGAAATTTCCAGCTTTGCTAAAAATGATCAGTTCTTTACCCGGCCGACTTTCATTCTTTAGATGTTAGGAGTCGATCACTTTTTTTTGTTTCTGGGAAAAGCTCATTCGGATTAGTTCCAGTAGAACTTTGTTTTTGTGCTGGAGTTAATCTAGTCGAGCTAAACGATGGTCTTAATCTGCTTAGTAAGATAAGTTTTTACCTGGAGGAAAATCTATGTTGTTGCTTTGTAGACATGCTGGTCCTACGCTGCTACTGAATGTGGCGGGAGAGGCCAACTTAATGACTGCAATGTCACTATCGTGGAGAGCTGTTACACCGTAGGAAGCGTGTCTGTAAACGGCGGCTATGTCAATGTCTTGTTCGTCAGTTTCGTTCGTACGGATATCATGTTCACCGAGGCGAATCTGTATTCAAAGCAGTGATCATAACGGTACTAATGATGATAATGATGATTATAATTAACGATTGTTCACCGAAGTGGAAGTGTATAGTGGTGCTCTAACACTTTCACATTGAAGAGAATAACTGTTGTACTATATATCACACAGATACCAAAAAATAAGTTGATTTCTTTCAGTATACCGAAAAAATGGTTGGAAATTAAACTCTTGACGCACGATTTTGTCTCATCGGCTGCTCAGAGGTGGTGCTATTCACTTCCAGACTAGCCAATCAGCGCGTGCAAAAAGCACTATTCACTTGTGTGGTATATACATTGCCGATCCCAGCAGAATAGAGTAGGTAACCAACGAGTTAATGGTGTATGTAACTCATTCAGTAGAAACTGGACATGTCTGGGTTTACAAACTCAAGTGGAATAAGTTTTATTTTGTCTCACGCTCGCCGATTGCAACAGATGCATAGAGTATTTCTTCCATACCCACCTTGTAGTCTTTGACGAATGTATCAGTGTCGGAGGGAATGCAGTGTGCGGCCGTAATCACGTGATATGCAGAAATCAAGGTACCTCCACAACTAGGGTCAGTGCAAGTCTTACACAGAAGAGCAACTTGCCAAGGCCACGCTCCTGGGATTGCAACCTTTCCCCCTACGATTACGCCAAGAGCTAATCCAGAGGATATAGAAGTCTCGTTCATTTTCACCCCACATGTGACCGGAAGAGGGGTAGTGGGATCTGTTGGACGATCACGTGCTAAAGCTGTATTTTGGGAAAAAGCAATAGTGTGAAGAACAATTGTAACTGAAACGACGGGGGAAGTTTACTGTGTTTACTCGCTACTCGTTTGCTGTGCTGTCAACTTTCGATTTGAGGTGCGCTTTCATTGGCTGTTTCTGGTAGCCCAGATCTGATTATTGTGACATGAAACCCGCACACCGCGATCGTAGGTAATCCGTGTGTTTGTAAACTGCTTTTTTTCAATGGTAACTGTTACTCAGTTGAACATAATTGGTGTGACATACAGAAAAAAGGGGGCTAATTTTTCACTCAAATGTAACCTAAAAGAAACCGTTTGGCGGACTTTGAATCAGTAAACCGTTACAAGTTACAGGTTGGGGCGCAGTTTTGCTGGATTGGTTGAAAACTGCAATTCTAAGATATCTGATTTTTTCTTGCGCAGCAAATCCTGTCCTAATAAATGAGACATTTATACTCGTAGCCAGTCGTGGGAGCCGAGCCCCTAGTAAGTGGTGCGAAAAATTAAGGCTTAAAAATACACCATAGAGCAACTGGGTGCAAGTTTGGCAGATGAAGTCCTATAAAAAAATAAAAGCACTTTATTTTAACAGAATAAAATCACACCTACATAATTTGCAAAGGAATGGTAGATAACGTGAGCAGCGAGAATCGAACCAGGTTCCATCTTGTGTACTCATGTAAACACAGTCTTCATTCCTGATCCAGTTATTAGGCTCGCCTCTTGCCCATTTGGTGTAAGTCAGGGGACTTTTATCCTCCCATCTTTAAAAAGGTAAGGTAATATTGTAATTAACATTGCTTTAAAATAAGTTTACACCCGAGCCAAGAGCCCATCCAGCCTGAGCTGATACCAGCTCCTGTAGCATGAAATGAAAAGGAGTATTAATACTCCCCCTAGAAGGGGGTGAAACTATCACAGGTTTCTTTGATATTTTGCCGGTACTTATTATTGCTTAAGGTTGGGGAGAGGCACTGTTACGGTAAAGTGTCTTGCTAAAGAACTCATCAAAAGAACCTGACTTAATCTTAAGCGCAGCAATGTTCAATTGAGCGTCGAAAGTCTTCAAGCATTGCTTTTGTTGAACTTAACTTTGCTCTGTGATTGGTCCAGAAAACTCGCGCTACCCTCTCAACCAATCAAACTAAACCAATTTCGACTTGGTCATTTACGTTTTCCTGCGCCTCAGGAAGGTTCCTTGTTGTCACTTTGAGTTTTCATCGGGTAAACCTTAGTTCTAGTGGTTGCTGGGATTACTTTGGTTTTCTGAATTTGCAATATTGAAAATTTAGGGTAAGCATTTACAACTTATACTGATTAGCTTTAGAAACCAACAACGCTAAATTCATTTCCACATGGGGTTGCTAATGACTTTTGAAGAACACTTCAAACTTCAAACTACTTACGAGAACGTGCTTGAAAAAGAACGTTTTAGTCCAATCCAGTAGCCGTACATGCCCTCAGAATAACGCTGCATTAAAGAAAGTACT